GGCAGGTTAGTACCAGAAAGTCAGAGAGTAAGTTAGCATCAAGACACTACAGTGTGGATTCCTACGTCTAAATAGTAGTTAATTTCAATAGTCAACACATTTGTTTTCTAGCAAAAGAACACAAAACTGGGGCTGAAGACATACCTCAAGGGACTGAGCACATGGTTTGCCTGGAGGAGTTCCAGGCTCCATCTCAGGTACCACAAGGACCCCGAGGTCTGTCAGAAACAATTCCCAAACATAGGGCCAGGAGTAAGCCCCAAAGTACGGCTGGATGTGGCTCCCCAAACTCAAACCAAACAAAATCCACAATGCCCAACCAGATACTTTTTATTTTCAAGTATTTTGAAATCGTTCCTAAAATGATTTGCACAAATCACAAGCTTGCAAGTGAAACAAGACAAAACTATAAATAATAGTTGACAAAGGTACCAGAAAAAAAAAAGAGAACAAATTAAACAACATGAATCCATTTACAATTGCCATGTTAACTCCATCTGAAGGACTGGAAGATGAAAACTTAGGGGTGGCGATGCACATTTACAAGGCACTCTTTCCTCCTTGGTAGCTATGGTTTTATGAGCAGAGTCTCCTATGTACCACTCATCAATAATAATATGGGGTCCACACTGCACAGATAAGTAAAGCAGGAAATAAGATCTTTATTAAAGGGACCCAGATGACTCCGTTTTCAGGTTTCCCATTCTGTCTGGGGAGTAAGTTAGATCTCAGGCTTATTCCTGGCTTTGCTCTCAGGGATCACTCCTGGTGGTTTTAGGAGGACCATATGGGGTGCCAGGGATCTAATCCAGAATGGTTGTATTCAAGACAAATGCCCTACCTGCTATACTATCGCTCCAGCCCCATTTTCAATTTTATATAATGCATACATATTATATGATGTATTCTTTATGGAATAAAATATAATGACTGAATTTAGTGTCTATCTAATCACTCTGATGATCATACTTACTTTAAATAAAACTGAAGTATGCTACTCATTTTCAGTAAAATGCCCTCCAAAGAGCTAAAAAAACACTGATGTACACATTTTTCAAAACTTACTAAATAATGGATCAATACGATACTGGTATTTTCTGGACAATTTAGAAGTCTTGTTGGTCAGATTAAACTCAGACCTAACATGAACATGTAAATACATCTGTATCAGTCTTAACATATGAAATGTTTAATTCACTAACAAGTGGGCAGAAAAGGATCAATTTTATGATTGAGATTCCCTTAGGTCCTGCCCAGGAATTGCTTCAGCCTCCAATATTGTTCATTCGATTTCCCAGCCTAAGGACTTGGAGGTAGAGAGCTGTATGTGAGCCTAAGAAACAGAGGTTAAATACTTTTTGCCATACATTGATACATCATCAATTCAATAGTTCCTGTTTGGTAATCAAGATAGATGCTTTAAGAATTCACTGGTACATGTTGTGATTCTTTGCTTTATACCTAAACATATTCTAGCCCATCTTGCTCCACTGAAATGAAAAGTCAACAGTTCTTGCATTCCCTAACAGAGATGTAAAACAAGTAATGCATAAAATAAATTAAAACAAGAGCAGCATTTTGTTGATTACATATTTTTCTTTGTCCTTAACCTGTTGTAGTTGTGAAAACATGCACTTACCACCAATTCAAAACATTCTGAAAACTCCTGATTCCCTTAAAATTTAAAGTTTCAGATTTCCACTTTCAGGGTGGTCTCTGGCAAGAATATTGTATATCTTGAAATGATGAATTTACATTATATGATCAAAAGAAGATAGGTTCAGAATTGATTAGTTATTAGCTAATAATTAATATAATACAAAGGTGAAGAAATTTTCATGCATCACCCAGTAAGGACAATTTTAAAGTTATTTGCATGTGTTTCTATTCATTTGCTAATCAAAAAATATATCTGGAATCTCCAAGGAGAATTAAAGATGTCAAGTCTATGCTTGACAAATGACTCAATTATGTAATAAAATCAGTTTTATTGATTGACCACTAAAGAACTAAAATGTCTTACTAACTGCTTGATAGAGAGGGAGGGATCAAATAACCAATGAAAAGACAGATAGTGGGGCTGGTTCAGAAGTACTCCCAAATATTTCAGAGTAAATCAGAGTGATTTCTTTTCTTTTATTTTTTTTAAAAAAAGTTTTTTGATTTGGGGTAAGAATTTTCCCAGACTATTCTTATTGCTTCTCTGGACTTTCGAGAGTTTTAATTCCATGGGTTTCATTGTTTTTATACCTGCAGAGCAGTGAAAATACATAAAAATACTTTCTAGACAGTACGGCAGAAATAAAAAACACTGTTTATACTGCAGACCAGTTTATGATTTAAGAATTATTGGAACTCCATCCAAGAATCAAGCCTAAGAACAAGTTTGGGGTACCAAGTTCCATATGCCTTAACCAAAACTATTCATTCAGCTGGAGAGATGATTTTGCATAGGATAGAATAAATATTTAAATCAACCGAAATGAAAGACTTTGGTTCCTAGACATAGATGAAACCTCAACTTGAAAATCACCGTTGGCAGCTCCTGTGTCAATTATTCAAGTCAACCTTTTAACTTGGACATTTGAAGTCCAAAAAAAGTCCATTTGAAGTATCTAGAAAAGTCTTGAAAAGTAGCGATTTACATTTTACTGCCTGAGACTCTGAACTTCAAATTTAAAGACCATCAGTGCACTGGAGTTTGGCACACAGGCTTGATTCCTGGAAGGATTTCCAATCATTCTTAAATCATCAATCTGATTTGGTAAGCAGCATTCCCAAATTTTCCAGCTAATGGAGAAATCATTATCATTTGTTAAAAATCACAGCCATCTTTCAAGTTGAAACTGGTGCAGCAACTGTTTCCATTAAGAGGTACTTCTTCCCGCAGAAATCTCATTGAGAAGTTTCCGTTTAAGGCACTACTAAAGGATACGAAAACAGGTAGGAATAAGCCATAACTGTCCACAAACAGAAGACACTTCAAAAACACCAATTGGTCTTCTAATCTGGCCCACTTTAGCAATAAAGAGGCCAGAGGTTTTTCACAGCTAGCTGATTCAACTCTTCCATTTTACCAAACTTATTCACATGACTTTGATTTAATTTCCTTGAGGCAGCAGAGAAAGACGACACGGATCTGAGAGATAAACCCAGGCAAATCTAGTTTATGACCTCGTCTTATGATTAATTCTGTAAAGACAGCATAGAGTGATCAGATCTGATTGCTGAGAACTTAAAAAGAGCGACCCCCGCCCACCCCCCCCCAGTGAGACTGAAGTTTAAGGTACTCTTCTCTACTGGTTTGAGGGAAAATGTGAATGAATCATTCCTTTTTCACCACCACGTGAATGGAATATGTTAAATGCAAAATCTGGAGGAAAGTTATTTATTTTGAATCCTCACTTTCAGCAGGATTTTTCTACACCTATCAATGAATCCAATTTGGGGATCACTGTCATCCCGTTATTCGTCAGTTTACTCAAGCAGGCACCAGTAACGTCTCTATTCCTCCCAGCCTGAGAATTAAGCAGCCTCTCCTTACTCGTCTTTCCTAACGACTGGAGGCTCTTTCAGGGTCAGGGGAATGAGACCTGTTATCATTACTGTTTTTGGCATATCGAATACGCCACGAGGAGCTTGCCAGGCTCTGCCTGTGCGGGCAGGATAGACTCGGTAGCTTGCCAGGCTCATATATATATATATATATATATATATATATATATATATGTCTATATTTTGTTGCCTACTGTCTGAACCCCATCAAATAAGGTGTGGTAATTATGGAAAATGGGTAGGAAGTGTCTTATGATGTGTCATGTGGCTGCAAAGTGGCCTGGAGCGTGGCAGCAGTTGGGTGGTGGAGGTTGGCTGTGGGGGCTGGGTCCCTTGAGGTGTGGAGGGCTCTCACACGCCCCCACTCTGGGGTGCTCCGAGTGAAAACAGCCTGGCCCGAGTCCGCGCGGAGTCTGCTTCTCCCTGACTCCTTGGTAGTCTGCTAGTGGGAGACCCTCGATTCTGATCCTTCGCCTTCTCCTGTCCCGGAACCTGGCAAGTCCTCATCATGCGTGAGTGCATCTCCATCCATGTTGGTCAGGCTGATGTCCAGACTGGCAATGCCTGTTGGGAGCTCTACTGCCTGGAACATGGCATCCAGCCCAATGGCCAGATGCCCATTGGGGGAGGAGATGACTCCTTCAACACCTTCTTCAGTGAAACGGGTGCTGGCAAGCACGTGCCCAGGGCAGTGTTTGTAGATTTGGAGCCCACAGTCATTGATGAAATTCGCACTGGCACCTACTGCCAGATCTTCCACCCTGAACAGCTCATCACAGGCAACGAAGATGCTGCCAATAACTATGCTCATGGCCACGACACCATTGGCAAAGAGATCACTGACCTCGTCTTGGACTGAATTCGGAAACTAGCTGACCAGTGCGCTGGGCTTCAGGGCTTCTTGGTGTTCCATAGTTTTGGTGGGGGAAACCGGTTCTGGGTTCACCTCCCTGCTGATGGAACATCTCTGTCGACTATGGCAAGAAGTCCAAGCTGTAATTCTCCATTTACCCAGCCCCCCAGGTGTCCACTGCTGTGGTGGAGCCCTACAACTCCATCCTCACCACCCACACCACCCTGGAGCACTCTGATTGTGCCTTCATGGTGGACAATGAGGCCATCTATGACATCTGTCGTAGAAACCTTGATATTGAGTGCTCAACCTACACTACCCTGAACTGCCTTTTTAGCCAGACTGTGTCCTCCATCACTGCTTCCCTCCGATTTTATGGGGCCCTGAATGTCGGTCGATCTTGGCGATCACATTAAGTAAAATTGGGTTCAAGTTATGAGACAAATGCCAGTAAGTGAATGATTGTGGAGGTAGGCACGGTGGGGGAGGGGCAACTTAAAGGGAAAAAGCGCCGTATGCATGAGTATATGTGCACATGGTCACACTCATGCACACACACACACACACACTCTCTCTCACAAAAACACAGAGCTCGTGTGCTCTCATACTAATTTCAAAGCATGGACATGAGGAAGGCTTAACACTATTAGGCATGAACACATATCAATAACTGCTGCAGTTATCTGTAGGAAAAGATTTGAAACATATGGCACCCCACAGGCATTCATCACATACGCGGACCAGTCTTGCCGACACAGACTCAGAAACGGACCCGGAGAATCCTCCAGAGCTGCTGGTTTTACAGGAATGATTCATTGCTGCAGGATGACACCCCTCCGCAGGACTTCGACCTGGCACTCTGTTCCAGAGACATCATCCCCTTTTCAAGAGTATCAAACAGTCTGGGAGGGCCAATCGTGATTCCTCAATAGGCATGATTTAACAACTGCAGGAATTAAAATGGCCCCTTAGGGATTGGGATGAAGTATTTCTCAACTTTAACAGTGTGAAAGGGGGGAAAAAGGTTTCTGGATGGAGGTGGAGATGGAAATGCCCAAAAGTTTAGAAACCAATATAAACAACAAAAAATGAGTGTAACTGAAAAGAGTTTCAACCAAATAGCACTGAGTTTGTCGATGGAGGAAGTTCTGCTCTCACCCAGGGAACTAAAAATAATCACTGATCTATTTGTTCTGAGGAAGGCTCAGCTGGGTGGGGTAGGGACAGAGGACTAAGGCTCAGATATTGCTCCTAAGGTTTCTGCTTGCCTGATTTGGAAGGAAAGGGTGCTAGAGCAAAAGGATCAGCAGCTGGCAGCTCCGTAGTCCTGGAGGAAAGGGGTGTGATAGAAACAGAGCCAGCTATTGACTGCTTGTTGGTTTGCGAGACAACTTTGTAGGCAGCAATGGGTTGGGCTTCTGAACTTGGCTCATCTTCTGGGCTATAGTGACGGGAGTATTTGGATAAAGACTGGGGGCGGAATGGTTTGCCCATCAGAGGGCCTGATGCAGCTTCTTTCTGGGGCTGAGGTCCTTTGTTTCTGTCATTTGGATGGGCCCCGGATTCCAGGGAGGGGCCCCGGCCAGTGATGCTGTCAAGATGATCAGCTGTCTGGACAGAATGGGATGGGAAGGGAGGAGGTTGGCCAAAGCCAGCCATGGGATACTGAGGTCGGGCTGTGGCATAGGCAGCCCGTTCAATGCCAGACAGCAGCGGGACATCATCCGTCTGAGGAGTGCCCTGGGCAACGGCGAACTCCTCCACACTTTTCTTCTTGGTAAAAGGTGCTCGCGAGAAAACGTCGACCTCCTCCAGCTGGGGAGCAGCCATATTGCCCTTGGTGACAAACGGGGCTTTGGAGAAAATGTCCACATCATCAGCTGGTACCCTAGAGCTCCGGAAGGGTGCGGTGGCAAAAACATCAGGCTCACCAGGACCATCCGTGGGGGGTGGTGTAAGGGCGGGGAACTGATTCTTCCCATCACCTTGGCCTGCCTTGGCTGGCTCAGAGGACACTTCCGGCTGTGGGAATGGGGTGGCGCCTTCCAGCTTTCCCTGCGGAGGCGGCCTGCAGCTCTCCTCCTCTTCCTCAGACTCCATGAGAAGAGGGCGAGAACCACTACAGTCCAGGATGTCCCCCTCCAGATCAGTGCCTTCCTCTTCACTGCTATGGAACGAGCTGTTGCTTGAAGGGCCATCTCTGGCCAAGTAGTCAGATTCGGAATTGTTCAGGGTTTTCGTGCCAGGTACTCTGGATGGGTCTGGACACAGGGCAAGGCCCTTAATGCTTGCTGATTCTTTAAAGTGCTTTACAGTTATTACAGGACAGGGATTGGGCTCTCTCTGGAGACCTAGAAAAGCACAAAATAAAGAATTAATGGCTGGGTCAGCTCGACTCTCCTTGGCACACAGAATGTTCAATCCGCGGCAGAGACATTGTGGGATCAAATGATAAGATGTTGGAAAAAATGGAAAAAGGGGGAAACGAAAAAAAAAAAATCAGGCAAGGAAACCGACACACACCGGAACACTGGCTCACATGTCTGAACATGAAAGGCACAATGGGAAGGAAAAGGCGATGAAGACGTTAGGCATACAGACATTCAGCGGAACTAGGCAAGGCTCCTACTCGTGGGGCCAGGCACTGGCACCTGCTCTACCTGGCATGAGCTTGTGATGGCATGAAAACAAACCCAGTCACTCATCTCCACAGAGAGCACGCCAGTTCTGGATTAGGTGGAAACTGCTGTCTGGGGACAAAGTCAACTCAGTGTCCAACATGGGGTCGTCTGCTCCACACTGGCTGGGTCTGAGGCCAGACCCGCTCCCTGACCCACCCTGAGAAGCAGCGGAATGTGGCCGCCTGAAACGCACATCGCCTTGATGATGTACGTCATTAGCACTGCTCACAGGGTCCAGGGGTGCCCCAATTTCAAATGCTGAAGGCTAAGGACTAGGAGGCATCATCAAAATTCTATTCAATGGATCACCTTCAGCAGGAGTTGTCCTGGAATTTTGTTTTCAGACGTCTAGGGTAGCAAAAGCTCTCCTCTGCTTAAATGAATCCATCATAAATCTCTTTAAGCAGGAGGAGTACAAGGCATGGAGAATTACAGAGTATTTGCGAATACTAATAGACTAAACTATTTCTAGGTAGAGGGGCCTCAGGGTGCTCTGGCTTTGAAATCAAATAGACAATTATCAGAATGCAAGAGAGCTTACCTTCCAAGAAATATTAGCAGGTTAGAAGTATGTCATTGGGCACATGTTAGCAAGAGGGCAGGAAAAAGGCATATGTAACTAAGCAAGAAGAATCCAGAGAGAGGGCGGTTGGGGGAAGAGGTAGCATTTCATTATGGGTCTCCCAGCCCCCCATAGCATGATAATTAAGTGTTATGATTTGAACTCTGCAGCTCACTCAAGCCCCTCCCCATCTTTTCTCTCCCCTCCTGTGCAAACCATCAAACAAAAACTTTGGCTAAAAATTACCCCCAGCTAAAATTTGAAGTTTGAATTAAGCACACAGCACACAGCAGAGGCGGCATCAAAATCAGTTTATTGGGAAACCAGTCACTTAGAGACATTACATTGTAAAGAGATGTAGAGAGCTGAACATTTTTAAAGATACTGTACAAAAATACTATGTTTCTCTGAATCCTATAACTTTTTAGCAGTGCTTCTCTTTTAAACAGTTCTGACCTTAGGTATCATTTTCAGAACAACAACAAAAAAAGGTGGCTTTCCCCTCATTTTTATTCCCTTCTCTAACGGTCTGGATGCATTCAGTGAATTCCAAATTAGAGTCTTTACGTTAATTCGGCATTAATGCCAAAGACCTTCTGAATAGTATCTGAAGAATATGGTTTTGGAGATGATACATCTTTCCTTGCAGTACAACTTTAATGTGTGCACCTACATTATGGTAAGAAATCATTAGTTGGCTGAGAGGAAATAAATAGAACACTTTCTCCCTTGCAATATATATGTGGATAGACATAATTCTAATCTTTCGGGCAAGTGTTAGATCTGTCACAGTGATTCTGGGAGGAAATTAAAATGAAACAGGGGTAGGGGTAGAGGAAAAAAATTTTCCAAAATAAGATTTGTCAAGCAAAATGGTAGGTAAGACCTTCAGAGCTCCTTTCTACACAGCAGCAGTTGAACAAAGTTTTCAGTTGCCAAAGCTAAGGCACAATTTCTTGTCTTCCAAAACTATCTCGAAAGTTGAAGTTATTCAGGCTGATTCCATGGGAGAGCAAAATTATCTCATGGTGAAAAAAAAAAGGTAAATTTAAGTCAAACCAATGATCAACTCTGGCATCATATAGATGAATAATAAAAATGAGCACGAGTTTGACAGGAGAGTTCTAAGTGTTGGGGAGGGGATTTAAGTTGAATTCAGTCAAACCAATTTATATGCAGAGACTGCCAAAAAGCAGTGGCCTATAGAACTAGGGGCACCGTGGATGCCAGCAGAGTTAGATTATGTTTCAAGAAGTGCAAAGTAGCAAGTAGGGGTGCCTGCAGTCAGAGCTGGACAGGATGGAGGAACATGCTTAACCTATCAAAATTATCATTGTGAAAAAGTGGGTTCTTGGTCAAGCCAACTGGAAACCTGCCAACTCAGAGCATATTCTATGACCTTCACGGGGAGGAATGGGAAAAATCATACTTAAAATTCCAACAACTTTTAAAATTCACAGACATAGTCACAAAAATACTATAACATCAAGTTTGAAGGGAAAACTTGTCTCCTGTCCTTCAAAACAAGGCCAGGCCTATTTCAGATCTCTTTCAGCAGGAATCTGCTTTGCAGGATTGGAAAAGTACATTTAAAGGATTCTCCTGAGAAGGTCAAGTCTCTCAACCTTTCCATTCTGTTTAGAGGAAGTGCAGTGTGACCGAGGCCGAGAACAACCACCCTGTGCAACTCTCCGAGACTGGCACTCTGGAGACCAAAGAAATGTCGGTGGATATGGGGAAGCGCAGACATCCACTTTCCCTCAGGAAATTTTGGTGGTGGCAGCACAAGAAACAAAGTAGTCAAGAGAAGGAGAGATTCTAAATAACTGTAAACAGAAGATAGACATTAAATCTTGTTGGCAGTTAGAGGTCTTATTTTTTTTTCTTTTTTGAGGGGTTTAGGGGGAGAAAATGACTGTGTTCAAGTAAGAAAACATGGGTTTTTTTTTTTTTTAGGATGAAGTCTTTATATACACAGATAGACTTGTACTTGTCCCAAAACATATTTTCTGCATACTAGCAATAAAAGATTTCACCTTATTTCAGCCATGCCTTTGGTAACCAGTATCACACAAAGAAGATGCCCTGGGACCCCAGAACTCAATCGAGGTATTGCTAGCATCGGGGGTGAGGAGCTGGGGGGGGGGGGCTTAAGCCTAGAACCAGACCCCACGGGTCTTTTCCTTAAATGAAGCATAAGATACCATATTCTAATTCCCTCACACTGGCTCATTTTTCTTTTTGTTTTGATATAACAAACAACTTAAGGAAGAAGTAAAAAATCACACTTCCTTTTCTAGCTGATGTGGGACTATTGCAGGTTAGGGATAAACATATTTATTTTTGGACACGTCTACAAGGGACAACTCCATTTCCATCTATTTTGAGACTAAGATTATGCAGTGAAGAGCTCATCATGTGCTTTAGGAAAGAAAAGGAGTTGCAAAAAGTATATAAGAACCTGGCAACTATTCCCACTAATTCCCTTAATTATGAAAGCAACCAAAAGTGCTGAATGATTTAAAATAGGTTTACCCTGGAAATTTTATCTGATGGAAGAGTGAGGCTCATCAGTGTGCTTGAAAAAAAAAATCAAAGACTTAAATTTCAGGCTAGATATCGTACAATATATCATACACTATTAGGATTTAATTTTTTCCCCATGACAGAAGCTCAAAATAACAGCTACAGGGAGGACTGGAGACATAACACTTATCAAAAACTGCAAATGCAGACTTGGAGTATTGAGAAATCTTCTCAAGAGAGTTAGGAAATAGAAAGCAAATATCCTTTAATAAAAACTCCAGAAATTCAGCACCAGCTGGAATTCATATACTTTAGAGCCAAACTGAGGCATCAAGAAATGTACCTCACGCTAATAATTTCCATGACCTTTTGGCTTAGATAATCAAGTATTTGGTTCTACCTATGTCATGCAGTTCCATTAAAACCCATGATTGGGGGAATAATGGATTAGTGGGAGTCAATAGAGGCTAATGTTGCTGTACCTCTCAAGCCACTGAGGCAAGCAAATGAGAGAAAGCTCTCCCTGAGTATAAAGGTGCTGTTGCCCAGGGCCCAGAGTGAGAGAACAGTAGGTGGGGTGCTTGCTGTGCATATGGCCAGTCCTGGTTCTATCCCCAGCACCCCAGATGGTCTCCCAAGCCCCACCAGGAGTGATTCCCTGAGCACACAGTCAGGAGTAAGTCCTGAGCACCACCGGGTATGACCTCCCCCCTCCAAACAAACCAAAAAACAAAAACAAAACCACCAAACCCTGCTGTTGTTAAAATGTTTCTTCAAATTGGCCCCAGCATAGCAAAGATTAATTAGAGGATGGGAGCTGCAAATTGGGGGTCCCTTTTATAATCTGTGTCTGGTCACAGAGAATGTATGCTCACAGAGCTTTGTTCTGACTGTAAAGTGAAACCAGAGCAGCTGTGACTCATTGAAATGCCCTAGGTGTGTTGCTTATATGTGTCTGCACTATCTTTGTGACAAGTACTTACTGTCACTCCACAATGTACTTAAATCCTTTTGGCAAAAGTGGGTTTCCAGTTTAGGAAAACAGCAGCTACTTTTAAGTTAGTTACATCTCTGAACATCAGTCATGCTCCTGTTTGAACAGACAAGTCTTTATTCCTCTGTATGTTCACATAAGAAATTTGTTTACAGATTTGTTTTTTTCATACAATACTTGTGTAGCAACGTTCAATTTTCACATTTTTCCGCCCCCTGTATAAAATAGCCTTTAGACCTCTGCTTCCTCTTCTTAGGAAGAAAGGATTAAGACCTGGGATAAATATATATATATATGTGTGTGTGACAGGGGCTATGCAACAGGGCAACTGGGTTACTGAGAGGAAAAGGGCTAATCCAGGAAACTACAGTCAAGTGGGAACCAAGAAAATGTACTTTAAGCAACTACCACAGTTTGGTAACTCGCACAGGTCAACTGTTCCCACAGAACCTCCTGCCCTCACCTTCTCAAAGGGAAACCCAGGAGAAACAAAATAGTATCTTATTACAGATGATCTGAACTGGAAGCCACAGGGATTCATTCCAAAGGAAGAAACTCAAGCACCTCCAAATTCAGGAACATGAGTAATGTAGAAAAGGAAAGAGCTTTGTGTTGGCAAAATTATAATCTCTAGAGAGAAATAAAAAGTAACTTTTTCTGTATCTAGACTCTTTCAATGAAGATTCCATTTTAAATATCCTGTGAGCATTTTCTAGTCCTATCTAGCAGTCTTTAATTTCCTTAAGTCAATGCTTTGGACAATCCTGTCATTTTTATCCATAAACTGTAAGTTAGTTGCTACAGGATCATGATAATCATATACAGAATGAGAAAGTAAAGGTTTCTGTGAGACGCAGATAAATATCATGGGAACTTAACTCTGGCCCAAGTTATATTTATTTAGGGTGTATTTATTTAGCTGAACTCAACTCCCCCAACATCAGTGGGCTGAGATTAACCCTGAAAGTATCCTTCCCACAGCACTGTTAAGGGAAGAGGTGTTCCTGACCTCTTATAGTTTGAGGCAAAATCATCAATTTTCTTTTAGAAGGGTAGGAAAAAATATATAAAAATACAAAATTGATATTTCATCCTGAGAAAAATGGGTTCTTTTCTTGAGTTGGCTCCCCTGTAAATATTAGCAATTTTAGTTCTGAATTTTAATACTAATTGAGGAAGAGCCAAATCCAATATTAAATGACATCAGACATGTGGCAACCTCTTTCAGAGATATTTTTCAGTTTTCTAAAATGGTTAAGGACAGACAAAGTCACAGAATTTCTCTTATTTAAATTACAAGGAAATTATGGTCAATTATTGCCACTTTCCATTACAAAGGCTCTTTCTTGGAATTTTTTGTAGTTTTTTTTTAATACTATATTTAACTAATTACCCTCATCTTAGAAGAGTGATTTTGAGTTTTTTTTTTTTTCCAAAACAACTAAACATTGCTCAGACCCAAGAGAAGTAGAAAAAGTAGATCAGGAAATAGAATATACTTCCAGATGCTGCGAGTGATACTTATCAAATAATATTAAAATTGATTTTCTTTTATCATCTTTCTTATGTTATTTCTAGGAAGCAGAGTTTCAAAAAGAACGTCAATGATGACAGCATCATTAGAATAAGTATTAGCTTTCCAAGTAAAACCAGATGACCATAAAAGAAATAACACTCACCCAATGTCAAAATTCTGATATGACTGCTAACGAAATCATCAATCATATTTAGAAGAGTCTATTTATGCCTAATCTTCTCTGAGGTCTGTATTTTCAAAAACATTGGGATTTAAATTTGGTGATCAAGTTAATCGAATGCCCAATTTGTATTGTTTTCTGTGATAGCCACAAAGCTGAAATAAAAGTAAATTAGGAACATATGCTAACAATATTTGCCAACTTTTTTTAATGGCAAGTAACTGATTATATATTTTGAAAGAAAGAAATCTTCTACATCTGAAGAAATATTTGAAATCTGCTTTTGTTTTGTTGAAATGGGTAGTTGCATGCACATGTCTGGTGGGGGGAGAGAGAGAGATTAACAAAGGAAAATCTCTATCCATAACTTTGTAATGATTTAAGCTTCTATTTAGATAGTCAAGAAAGTGCAACCTGGGTTAGTAAAAACCAGCTATAACTCTCTAAAAATTCTCTAAATACTGCCACAATAATATTAAGCACTAAAGAAGGTAATTGAAGAACATCAGGATTACGTAAATCCTTCATAGTCCTTCCAAGGCATAATATATATATGTATATATATATAATTTTTAAACAATAAGATTCTATTATCTTAAAGACCATCTAGTCCAAATCCTTCTGTGTATAAATAAGGAGCATTTGCTCTGACAACTAAGACACCTGCTGAGGGTACAACGGTCAAGATAAGACCCCTGTTGCCTGTCTTGGGCCACCTCCACAAAGTGAAGCAAATGGACTAGAGATGGGCTTGAGGATCCCTCTTGGGAGTCAGTGACTAGTTTCGAAAGTCTATCACTTATCAGCACACTACACTAGCCTCAAATAAACCCTCAGGGAAGATGCTACAAACAAATGTCTCTCTATTGAGTCACTCAATTACATCCTTTAGCAGAAAAGTACCTTCCCTTTGAGGAACTACTGCTAAAAAATAAACCCCAGGAAATCTCATGTCGTTATCTCCTTCTAGCTTCTAATCTAGTTTCTGGCTGCTAGTTCATTTTCATTGGCTATGCTGCTAGTTCATTTTCATTGGCTATCTCTGTTAAGCTCTCTTGGGCCAGATGACCTGATAGTATATCTCAATGTAATTATGGACAATAGTACATAAAAGGAACAATGTAGAGACAACTAATTTCTAATCTGTACTCTTCTTCATAACTTTAATTAGAGAAACTAAATATTTCATTATATTCCTAATATGCATGTATGAAAAAAATTAAACTGGAAAACAGAGGCATAAAATATTATTCTTATTTAAAAAATAAATATTTCCTTCATTAGTTTATACATTCTTTTTATGTGCAGGATAGAGAATAACAATTCTGATGTTCAGCAATTTTCCTGTCCATATAGGGGTCAACCAGGTCCATTCCACTGCTACTCAACTGCATGGAGAACTCTTCATGGATCTCTTTAGTTCATCCTCAGCAAGATGGTTGTCTCTCTCTTAATTTTAAACATGATCCACTTCCCTATCAAAAGGCCTTTCTTAGCTCATCTAGTTCCAGTTAGCATGGGAAATATTGAAAATCAGAAGGAAGACTGATTTTAGACTTTACCTCTGATGCTTTCAAAAGTTGCTCTCCCATCGCAAGGGTCAAAACATGACCTCTAAAGTGCAGTGTTTTGCGAGCGGCTGTTGCCATGAAATTTTCCTTTTTTCCCCCGTAAAGTGCAAATAGTGAGGAAGAAGAAACAAAGGTGCTAGATAGAGATATAAGCAAATGGATTTTGAATTCTTGTTTTTGTTTTTTGGTACAAATCTGATCAACTGAGACTTTGCCTTCTGCTCATGGAAAATGGCACTCAAAGAGAGAACAATAGGGTTCTCAGTGTCCACCTCTTCAAAAGGGTGATTTTTATAAAACTGCTTTCCATGTAAGGAAAAAACACACTTCAGTGAGTAAGTACATATACAGAGGGTGACCATGAGGCATATTGTCATGTCAGTACAGGGTCATTTATTTATTTTATGAACAGTAGACTAAGTTTAATAAGGAACTATACTTTGTTTTATTTTTTTTAATCTAGGAAGCCAAGGAAAACCAAGTGGACATATTTCATTGGCTGCAGCCTCCAGTTAAACATCAGAGAGAAAGGTAAGTAGCCACAGTCAAATTGGGCCTAGCTTGTGAGCACATATTTCGGACTATCTGAAAATAAACAACATGCTTATTCTACAAAGACAAAGGACCTGCTGAAAGCGTATAGGAACACACAAGTCTACTCAAAATGATTCCATATGTTACACTGTAGGATCGCTATGTAGTTATACAAGGAAAAGAGATCAAAACCCTGTACAGACACCTGATATCAGACTTGAAACGCCAAGTGGAAACAGAACTATTCAGTGTCTTCATTTATACACAATTTACAATATTCGATTCAAAATAAAAATCACAAGAAAAATACATCTGTTTCTGCTACAATTCCTTCCCCTCCCCCATCCACCCCACCCCCCCCTCAGTGAAAAGTCTTCTAATAAAAGGTATCATATTACCACCATTGTCTTGTTTTGGTCTAATTCTGATTCCCAGCTTGGGGCAGTTAACATGAAAAGGAATGGCAATACTTGGGGTTTCTATAATGTACATATTTTATCCAGGGATCTCAAGTACTTGCAGTCATGTCTCCAGATCTGGGAAATCACGGTTCAATGGAAGCCAAAATGCTGGACGAATGCTGGGCAGGTTGCATGGGGCGTGATATCCCTTGGCTAAGTCTATGATCAAACAAGGTCAAAGTTGGTTGGCTACAGCTGGGCTCCAGTTCTCCTTTCAAACACAGACCATCAGTGTCTTTACCCTCTATTAAACCATACGCCCAGCTCTAGGCTACTGCCTAGAGTTAAGACCAACCGAAGAAGCCATGTCCTGATGATAATGCAACAGGATAGTAAGCAAAAAACAGAGAAATACATTCATCAGCATCTGGCCAAAGGAGACTGGGGTTGGAAGGACTGATTTGGGAGGCCATTCCTAGCAAGAATGAGACAAAGGTGTCAATTCACTAGTTTTAGTTACAGTTAAGCTTTTGGTGGAGTTGATTCCAGCAGAAGTGAAGCTCATGGCATCTAGATAATGCTACTGAAGAAGGGTCATGAGAAATCACAGCAAACTAATGGGAGGGACTGGCCAAGAATCTCTGGAGGGTCAGAGTGATTTTCTTTCCTTATCATTTCTACAGGAGAAGGCAAGGGATAGGAGATAAGGGCTAGAGGGTCCCTTATTTTGCAGCTTTTTAAAAAAAAAATTTTTTTCTGATAATTCCGTAATGAAAATGTGTATTACGGTATGAAGGTTACAGAACTGCATCTGCTACTGGGTCACGGCTACAGGTCTATGAGCTGATCCACCAGCAGTAAAGACCTGGCTAGGTTGGGAAGACTGGACTCAGAGCTCCCACTGCTGTTTCTAGAGTGCCCACCTGGAAGTGGAGAGATAGGAATTCAGTACAAAACACAGAGGGTTAAGGTTTAGATGTGCAGAGCAAGCAAAGGAGATAAAACAAACAATCCCCGAGAGAAGCAATAATTTACATATGTAAACTCTTACATGTTGGTTCTTAAATATACCAATTAGCTTTCCACCGCCACCCACCCAAAGTTCAAGCACCGAGTGCTCTGATCGAGGCAGGCTGCCTGCAAAGAGGATGCTATTTTCAAATGACTACATTTTGTCTCTGAAATGCTGACTGTAAACTAGCTTCCTGGTAACACTGAGTCATCTCCCCGAGTGAGTAAAAATCAGTCATTTTTGCTTTGGGGAAAGACATCAGTATTCAGTTCACTGTGATTAAAAACATGTTTCAAAAATATACACTCATGGTCCTATGGCTGCTCAGACAAGTTCAAATGGTTTTAAGCCATCAAAGAGGAAAAAAGCTGCTTCATAAATGACCAAAAAATGTTATCAAAGCACCACTATTATCTCTTCAGGAAAAATATTTCATACAGATTGTTATAATCATGATTTTAAAAAAGACTCAATGCTTTAAAAAAAAAACACAACTATGTCTTTAGGTTTTCACTAACTGAAGATCACTATTTAGCTTGATACTTTGTAAAAGGAAAATAAAACCAACAACAAACAGCTTTAGTCAAACAATGTTCTCTCTAATAAACACCATAGGGAAAGAAGCTTTCTGATACCCAAATCAGTATTTCTAGCTGTTGCAGTCTCTCTATTTGCCTGTGCTCAGGGTGGTTGCCAACACCCTTAATTTTTTTTCATTAAATGCTGATGCTCCCCACCACCCCCTAGTAGCTTAGGCACATTACTATTTTTATGAGAACTGATGTCAAGCTCTTCTCTTTTCCCCATACTCTCTTTCTTACCTTGTGGGTTTTTGGTTATCAATACAGGAATAGGATCAAACTCATCTTCTGCCACCTTGTCCGAGCCCTCAGGGACATCAAAACCTGAGATGAGATTACTATCTTCTGCAGCTTAATATAGAATGCAAGTACATAAGCAGAAACAACAGAGGGAGAGATTAGCAAATGAGAGAACAAGCAAGAGGCACCAAAGTTCCCAACTGTACAACCATGGTGTTTTTTTAAAGGTGAAATTGCGTATTTGTGTGACTTGAACGAAAAGTAGCAAAACTGAAAAACTTAGCGAGACAGAAAAAAATGCTTTTAGAGCTGGCAGATTAAGACTTTATAAATCCACCACTAGCAGCAGTAATTGGGAAGAGTCCTTTCAATGGGGGCAATTCACTACGGGCAACCTTAATCACTTATCTTCTACTCTGACCCAAGAAGCCCTGACAAACAATAATCATGAAATTAAGAATTAGGGATGATGGGGAGATAATCAGTTGCTTTTAAAGAAGCAATCAAACTATATGAAGCAAAAAAACATTTCAAAAAGGTATCACTGCCCTGTGACTGAACACGGACTTTCAACAAACCCCAACGTCTCAGCAATCATTTGGGCCTTCTTCTGCTGAAGTCTGACAGGATTCTTCTCCATCCTAATTAAAGTCCTATGGCCAGCAAATGCTAGCCAAGCACCTATTTTGCAAGTAATGCTTCTCTGTAATTACACCTTGCCGCTGACACATTCCTGCCAGACATAATTGGCTAAACAGGTACTTTCCCTTCACACGCTGACAAAAACATAATCATTTTAATGCCACCGGAGGCAAAAGCAACTCAGTGACTGCCACTGCAAACCACTAAATGATTCCTCTGAGTCATCTCCTGGAGGCATCCTTCTCGAAGTTCCTTTTGATGAGACTCTGGTGTTCCTACTCTGCACACTGCCTCCTTCCAGAAAAACCACTCTGACAAGCCATGCAGCACTGTGAGGCCCTGTGCTCAGGGAGCCGGTCACCGTGACGACCTGTCACAAATCATCCGGACTGAGTCCGACTCAAGCTCCCTCTGTCCAGCAGAGTTCCCCACCGAGGTGCTAATCTGAGACTAAGGAATGATACTAGTAGATCTGGGAGAGAAATTCAGTAACCAGTCGTGACTTCAAGGCTCAAATTCACAGCATGCACAAGTTCAGTCTTCACAAGCTCAGTTTGGAGGGATGAAGCCTGTTTCTTTATCCTAGCGATCACAACCTGGAAACTTTAAATCAGGTTTGATGAAATAGTTATCAGTTCTAAGGCCAACAAGTATACTTATAATGGTCATCCACTCAACCATTGACTTGAGATGTCAGCCACACATGGAGCTCCCCCTTTAACACCACAGAAGAGCTGAACTCCAGCTTCCACCAATCTGTGCTCTAAGCTTCAGTAAAGATTCTGTGTGCCTGTGTGTGTTTGTGGTGCTTCTAAGCAGTGCTCAGGGCATCTAAGGCTACTAATGCCACAGCCCCAATAGAGCTGGGCTTCTTTATTTATTTGTTTATATTTGGGGATGACACCTGGAAGTGCTCAGGGCTTACTCCTGGCTCTGTGCACAGGTATCACTTTAGATGGTACTTGGGGAATCATATGTGGTGCCAAGCCAGGGTTCAAATCCAGGGCTTAGGCATGCCACATAGGTGTTCCAGTCTGCTGAGCTATCTCCCTGGCCCTTATTAAAGATTCTTTCTGGGAGCTAGAGAGATCGCTCAAAGGGCTGGAGCACGGGCTTCACAAAAGAAAGCCCAAGGTTTAATCCCTGACACCACGTGGTCCTCCAAGCACCAAAGGGAGGTAAACTCCGAGCATGACTTGGTGTGGTGCAAAAGCAAAAGAAAACAAAAGAAAACAAAGAGATTTGTAAAGGGATTTTAACCTTGTGGCTAAAAGTAAAAACTCAAATTTTCCGTATCAGAAGGTGGTTAAAGAACTTTTCACCCACAAAGGAAATTCTCTGGAGTTCAATTCTCTTGTAATGATACATTTGGGCCCCAGAGGAGGAAAGCATTTACCTTGATGGGCTGGAGCAGAGATTGCTATGGGGGCAAACTCTTCCAGAAGGTCAGTAGTAGGATTAGAAAGCAGAGAGCAATCAATCAGGGAATCTTCCCCGGTGAGAGAATCTGAGTCCAGATTAACAGCATCCCAGGTGAGTGAAGGCATTAAATGGCACATACAACAATATCACAAGATTAGATCTTAGTCTTTGAGTTATTGCATATTCATGTTATACAAACAAGCCATGGCAAGAAAAAGAAAACCAAAAGAAATCCGTTAATCTTTCTGGATTACCATCTTTATATATATATATATATATATATATATATATATACATATATATATTTCTATATTAATTTTATACTAATTAAAATACAACTATGGTTGAATTTTGCACTCAACATTGCTGGCCTGTGATCTGGATACCAATACTACTTCAGCATTGGTTTCCTTTGTGAGCAAGGGAAAAAAGAGTAGCACTTAGAGAGTTTCACTTAAACTTCTCCTGAACATTCACATTCATGGGAAATAAGTTACCCAGGATGACAATCCTGTCTGTGGCTTATTATTTATAAAATATTACATGATTAAATGGCATTTTCCAGAACTGAAGTAAAGTTCCCTTCAATACAGAATGATCTTTCCTTTTTTTTTTTTTTTTTTTGGCTTTTTGGGTCACACCCAGTGATGCACAGGGGTTACTCCTGGCTTTGGTCTAAGGAATTACTCCTGGCAGTGCTCAGGGGACCATATGGCATGCTGGGAATTGAACCCGGGTCAGCTGAGTACAAGGCAAACACCCTCCCCGATGTGCTATCACTCCAGCCCCCAATCTTGCCTTTTTTAATAGTCTTTAAATCTGAATTGTTCCTTCACACACTCAGTTTGCTTTTAACGCAGAGGAAAGACAAAATTCAGACCTCTAGCATTTCAACACATGATCTATTTTCTAGGAAAGTTTTCTAGTCAATATGCATAAGGAAAACAAACTATATTATCTTCTAAGTTCTTTTCAAAAACTTGGATGAGCTTCTTTATTTATTTGTTTATATTTGGGGATGACACCTGGAAGTGCTCAGGGCTTACTCCTGGCTCTATGCACAGGTATCACTTTAGATGGTACTTGGGGAATCATATGTGGTGCCAGAGATCAAGTGGGGTGAGCTGTGTGTGAGATAAGTGCCTACTTCTTGTCCAATATATCACTCTGGCCGAAATAAGTTTATTTTCATACTTCCTAGACCTCTCATTGTTTCTGCTGCAAATTGGGAATTTGAATGTTTTCTATCAATTATGGGCTTAATAGAAATAAAAGTTATCAAACCGGGGCAGTTAAGAAAATTTACCAAGTGATCCTGGTAATAATGGTGAAAGCAATGCTGAATCTGGGGATTTCAACCTTGTCTACCACTGAACAGAAAACCTGTCTCCTGACTCAGGCATTGTGTGGGAAAGAGAAGGTCCCCAGTAATGAATGTGAGCTTGGGTGTGTGACAATGTCAGAGAAAGAGAGGCGGGGTGAGGGGGCTCTGGGAACAGGTTCAGCCAAGTTCCTTCATTAAGAAGGTGGAGGAAACTGCCATCAAGAAAAAAAAAAATTTTTTTTTTTTTTTTGCTTTTTGGGTCACACCTGGCGATGCACAGGGGTTACTCCTGGCTCTGCACTCAGGAGTTACTCCTGGCGGTGCTCAGGGGACTATATGAGATGCTGGGAATCGAACCTGGGTCGGCCGCGTGCAAGGCAAATGCCCTACCTGCTGTGCTATCTCTCCAGCCCCGAAAAAAAAAAGATTTTAAATAAAGAAATAGGAAACTGAAGGCGGGTCTGGGGATCACTCTGCAAAGAACATCCCAAAGAGTACTCTGTTCTTTGGGGAGGAAACACATCACGTCACGTCTAGAAGCCAGGCTGTACCAACACCACACCCCCATTCCACAGAGAACTGGTTCTGGATACAAAACAAGCTCAGGATGCTCTGTATAGTGGAAATACTGGCCAGGGGCTGGGGTGGGGTTCAGCACACACTGCCCAGTCCATGCGGCTTGCCACGACCCCCAACTGACCTGTTCGGTTCGAGGTCACAGATTCCGTCTGAGATGGCAGGCGCTGGGGCACCGGGGGCTCCAGTCCTGGTATGAGACTCTCAACAGCAACATCAGCTTTTTCTTTTGTAACACAGCGTGAAGAAAGGAGAGCAAAGGGTAAGGCAGAGGGAGTCAGAAGGTTCCTCAGACAATTCTGGAAAGGCTTCCTGACTACCGGTTTCTAAAGGCCAGTCTCAGAGGAGAAGGAGAGTCGGTAGGATACTCTACGTCTGCAGCTCCGAGTGTCTGGTCCTCACCCACTGAGCACGCATGTGCAATGTAAACCACAGTGGCTCGTGGCACTGGTTCTGTTCTCACAGGTGAATGTGGAATGTGAGCCTTCTGGCAGAGCTCGCGGGACCAATGGCACAGATTGAAAGGCTGCTTATTAGCTCCTGGCAATTTTGCTTTTCTTAATATATAAACTTGGGGGCAGACATCCTCGATGCCTTACAAAGGCCACTACTCCATCTAAAAATCCCATCCCACAATGCAGTCCCCTAAAATTCCCTCTGGGAATCTTGGGATATCAAGATAGGCAAAAATAATGGTGTTGGACCTATAGAAGGTAGCGGGGAAACGCCACCTTCCAAAAGACTACTTGGGGTTATAACAAGTAATATTAGGCTGTGATGGGTTCCTGGGTGGACATAAGGCACTTCGGCGGCCCTTATGAGCATAAGGCATTGTGGCATTTCCGCCCCTCACCAGGGCTATTCCCCAGGGATCCACTCTTGAAAGAGAACATATATATCATGCATGACTCAAGAAAGAGATTATGACGACTTTACCGATTACAGCATCGGAAGTGCTACCAAAAGGATCTTTCATAGGCAAGAGGTCAGGGAGCAGGAGAGAAGTGTCAGGAGATTTGAGTCCCTCAATTAGTTTTTCTATGTTGGGCAGAGAGGTAAAGAGAAAGCAAAAATGCAATAAGATGTCAAATAAATGGTGATTATTTATTCTTTCCTATGTAAACACATTTTAGAGGTTAAAAAATTTGGGTAGATTCATCATAAAAATGAATGCTTCTTATTTAAAACAGGCTTTCAACGTCTATACGTCTTAAAATGATTATTTCCCCATTGAAGTAGTCACTTTGTAAGGCAGTCAAGATGCTACCCTAGGGTTTATTCATTTGTTTTTTAAATTTCAGGTATAATTTACATGAAATGAAAACCACCAATTATAAGTGTCTAATTTGATAAGTTTCGACAAAGGAATATATACATACATATATACAATAATGATGTATATTTTTATCATATCAAAATATACCTCGTGTTCCTTTCTTTCAATGTTATCCTCTTACTACCCCCCTCCTCCCAAGACCTTGGCAATAACAGATTTATTTTCTCTTTGTAGTTTTACCTTTTCTAGAATTTTCTATAAAAAGAATCATACAGTATATAGCCTTTTCTGTCTACTATTCTTTATGTAGCATAGTGCTAAATGATGTATCTGCAGTTTTGATCTATTGCTGAGTGATCTATTTTATGGATATAACATAATTGCTTGATTCATTCACCAGCTGAATGAGTACCAATTTTTAACTATCAAAAAAAAAGACTAATATCAATATTTGTATACAGCTCTGCGTACTCATATCCCATCCTGAATGTTTTTTAAACTTGCATTTAGAATTGGTTTATGACTCACCAAGAGAATCAATTAAACTCCACTTAAGTTAACTTCAACAATCAATTTTTATCTGTCAACTGGTATGCTACAGCATGACTCAATTGTTCTATGGTCAAATCTCACAAGCTTCATTTAAGTTCACAGGTGGATTACTTTTGGTGTCTTTGGTTAAGAAATAAAAAGATATCAGAAGTCACCTGGATTGTCACACCTGATGGCTTAATATGTGACAACATGCCCAAATAAGACTCCTTTCAAACAATTCCTTTTGCCTGAATCCATTAACTCTGTTTAACTTTAACCTAGTAAGGTAGAACATCTTTCAAAAAAGAGGGAATGAAGAGTTCATATCTCCTTTTAGTCATAGAAGTCTGAGACCATATAAATTCTATTAACTTGCCCAATTAAAGACTTGGCAAGAATGATTTTTTTATCACAGAAATAACATGCTATTAAAACTAAAATTAAAATGTTTGGGAAAAAATTCAAAGTTTAAATATCTGTATACAACTTTTGTTTGCTTTTGGGCCACACCTGGCAGTGCTCAGGGCTTACTTTTGGCTCTGCACTTGGGTCACTCCTCATGAGGTTGGGGGGCCACATGGGGTACTGGGAATCAAACCTGGGTCAGCTGTACACAGGGCAATCAAGTGCCTTACCCACTGCACTATCTCTCCTGTATTTTATCACAACCCCTGTATTTTAAATGAATTTTTAATAAATTTCTATTCTTGGATGCTATCAGGGACTCATATAAGCAAAATCTAATTTTATTGAGAAAGAGGATCTATAAATCAGGTGATCGATGAAAACAAATAATGGATTTCAGTTCCTCAAGCCGCCCCCCCCCCCCCCCCAAGCAGGTAACCTCTGGTCTGAACAAACATTTAAAGATTTTATGACTCATGGGAAATGGCTACTCTGGATGTAATAGTAAACTTTCTGGGATAGTTCCTGCCGAAACTACATGAAGACTCAGGCTCAAATTCTCCATTATACAAAGTTTCAAAGGGATGAAATCCCAGCACAAGTCTTAAATTTTGTAATGATTTCATCCTCCTAGAAAATATTTCACATGAGCTTTCTGTTTCCTTTGTATTGGAATTCCAGACCCATGAACCCTGCATACTGGAATACATGTGAAAAGCAGAGTGGGGGAAAGTACCTGGATTTGGAGATTACTTATTTCATATATTTTTGTACTTATTGAATATTTTAATATGACATACGTTTTGGGAACTTTAACTGGGTTCCATATAATCCCCCTCAAATAAAGAAGCAACATGAAAAAAATCAGAGAGCCTGAATCTAAGTTGGCTAAGTCACCGAACTTTTCTAAGCATCACTTTTTCTTACTTGTGCATAAAGGATAAGAACTACTTCAGAGAGCTGTCAGGATTAAGTGGAATCATTGATCACAATTCCAGTGTATATATAAGTTAAATGTTTATATCTTAGCATTATCTTCTCTCTTAAGTAAGGGACTATGGGATGCTCAAACCATTGAAACCTTCAATGGCTATAATAGTGAGAATGGGTAGCATTCCAGATTTTACTTAAAAGTCTTGGTATGACACCAGAATAAATAGTGTTTCTTGAGTGAAGTGAAGTGTGAATAAGAGTCTAATAAGAAGAAAAAGTACTAGGAGACAGAAACCTTTCAAGAAACCAGAGGTTTTCTTACTGATTGGACAAAGGTCTTACCTATCTTGATAAAGATGAAGTGAAAAGTTGGATGATAAAAGTTAATCATCCATGGGTGAAGAGTTAGTGCAAAGGTTTGGGCGATGGTCATAACACTTTTGAATCCTGCCACTAGCTCTGGTTCTCTAAACACCACCAGGCGTGGCCCCTGAGCACTGCAGTGTGTCTCTCACCAAAACAAAACAAAAAAGTGTTAGTCACTCAACATCTGAGAAAACAGGCTGTTGGAATTCTGCATCTTATTATATATTAAAACTTTGGCACCACATATATTTATATATCTGTTCTCTAACGTGATCAAAAGGAAAACCAAATAAACACATAGCACTTGGGCATCCATAAAACTCACCAAAGCTACATGTCATGCGGTAGCCTTGTGAGCATACAAACATTCATGGCTATGATTATTTTTTGATGCCAGCTTCTCTAAGAAAATTCATAATGCTATGAAAATTTTTTTAAAAGTTCCTTAGAAAAAGAAAACCAATATATCTACAATTATCCAGCAGATAACTGATTGTAGATTTCATCCATCGCAGAGCAAGGGCATCTACTTTGGTGGCTCTCAGCTATGCAAAACTTCAATCTTTATAAAAGAAACGAAAGTCACCATCTAGAGCTGTCACAATCAGGACCATTCTACTGGGAACAAAGACCAGAACCAAGGCAGCCAAAGCATTTCCTATTTTTTTTTCTTCTTTGAGTCACACCCAGTGATGCACAGGGTTTACTCCTGGCTTTGTACTCAGCAATCATCCTGGAGATGCTCAGGGACCATATGGGATGCTAGGAATTGAACCCGGGTTGGCCGCGTGCGAGGCAAACACCCTACCTGCTGTACTATTGCTCCAATCCCGCATTTCCTATCTTTATCCTCATTTAGAGTTTATGTGGAAACTGTCCAGCTGCGATTTCATCTTAATCTTGGGATGTCACTCCACTGTGTAGGCTCTAACACTTTCATGTGTGAAAAGAATACGATTCAAAAGCGACCTAGCTATTCAGAGACTAGAACCCAGATTGTCCGAGTTCAAAATTATTTATATACTTCTCAAAGCCTTAACTTTAGCTCTTTCATTAAAAGCCTTCTTGATCTAGAAACGGTATCTAAGACATACACTGTTGTGGGTTCCTTCCCATGGAAAGGACAGCGTGAACACAACAGTGCCATGGCCTCATCTGCCTAAGCTTCAAGTGTTTAGAAGCGGGCATGCACACCAGTCAGACGATCCAGAGCTTGAAAGAAACATATGTGGAAACATTTTCAAAGCCTATCAGTGTACAGTTATTAAGGATACGGATGACAGGAGACAGAGTTCTATGACTGTCAACATTAAGAGGTGTGGATGGTGAGTACGTACGCCATACAAACACACTCGTTTGGAGCTGAAGTGGAAGTGCCACAGTTGCTGGCTCTGCGGTTTCCAGGAGCTGAGAGTCTGATTGCCGAGGGACCATGGAACTTTTGACCCTTTCCTCACCCAAGCATCAGCCCACCAAGGAAGGCTGTGTGGGTGTTGGATAATAGAGGAGCTGCATAACTGAGGGTGCTACAGGCTGACTATTAAAGATGACTATGAAAACAGGCCACAGTGGCCTGAAGTGTGGAGGCACCATGGGATGCTAGGAAGGAGTTGAAGAATCTGCTGGACCCGGCCACTGTGAGTGGTTTGTTCCTTCAGGAAAACGAAGAGAACAGGAGGGTCGGGCTGGTGGCTGGCATAAACGGAAGGTTACAGGGATAGTAGCTGAGAAGCACAAGAAAGCAATGGAAGGTATGGGGCCTTCCAAAGCCATAGCCTGAGTTTTGATATCATCCATTCCCACCCAATCTGCAAAGACTGAGGGCTGGAGAATACAGTGGTGACTGTCACTCCCTCTGAATACTGACATTCCCACGGGGAAAAACCAAGCACTGTCAGGGTAAAGACTCTGAAGAAAAAGGCCAAACAGGCCTGAGGTGTATGTGAGGCTCTGGGTTTGACCCCTTGCACTACACATTTGAAAGCTTAGGAGTGCAATTGATAGTGTCCATTTTACCATCGGGGCCTCTTGGAGAAGGTTTATTTAAGCTGAGGCTCCAACTTCAAATGACAAAGAACATAATTTCCTGGAAGAAAAAAGCTCTCTGGGCAAAGTGCTAACAAGTGCCAAGGCCCTTTGGTGGGAATAAGCTTAGTCTTCTAGAGGACAGACTCAGGGGAAGAACTCTATGATTTCATGTCATGAGAGTGCCCAGGGCCAGATGAGCTGGGGCCTTTTAGGTCATGACAAAAAAGTGTGCATTATACGTGACATGCTTGGAGATTCCTCAAGAGTACTATATTTGGTTTCTGACAGGTGCGTCAGATGTAAAAGGTCAGAAAGATGGGAAGATACACCTGGAGTTTTCCATCAATACTCAAGATGGATCATTTCTCTGGAATGAAAGTGTCTACCAGTGACACTAGCAGGAGAGAAATATGGAGGACTGGGAGATAGGAAAGATGGCACGAGGAAGGCAGGACGGCAGCCAACTGGCTCTCTGGCCCCGAGAATCATGAAGCCCCTGCTCGATTCCTCTACAACCCCTCTGTGTGACCAGGAGTCGATTCTGGAAGGATCTGGAGCGTGGGATCCTCACTTCCAGACCACTGGGTTCCTGTTTCAAATGCAGAGAACAGTCACTTTTTTCATCTTCTGGCCTGTGCCAGGAGGTCATTCCTAGAGTGACTGTGGCCGTAGATTGGCCATTTGGCCAAGAGCCAGACAAGAATCTGACAAGGAGTTTCAAACAGAATTCCTCATCTGATCCTGCAACTTCCACAAGAGGAGCAGAAAAGTCAGGGTCCATTCTTCCAGTGATGCTTTCCTGTCTTTTCCTGGAGCTGGCTGCCCACTGCCAGGCAGCCTGAAAGGAGCAGAAGCATCCCTTCTTTGCTTTCTTTACCTTACATGAACCAACTCTCAGTTATTTGAGGGGGAGAGGGAAGGGAAGCGGGAGTTATTGGCAGGAGTTTGGCCTCCCTCCTCTCCACAAGCCAGTTGTGTTCAGGGATCTTGTTCAGGGATCAATCCTGGGTGAATCATATGGGATGCCGGGGATTAAAATGGGGGAAAGTACTTTACTTTTATATTATCACTCAGGCCCTCTTTTGGTTCACCTATTTCCAGTGTTAACAAGCTATAAAATAACGTGATACTACTTGATCCAGCTAAGTTTTTGCTTCCCCTTAAAGGAGCCAACAGATTGTCTACAGAAATAACTCTGTGGAGCCTAAACAGTTTGTCTTGGTATGTAGAGAGTGTGACTATCACAATAAACTCTGAGCAGTCAATGACCTTTAACATCTTGGGAAAAAAAGAAAAACTGTCTTAAAACTAGGAACAGGAAAGAGATAGCACTGCACTGTCCACCCGTTGTTCATTGATTTGCTTGAGCGGGCACCAGTAACATCTCCATTGTGAGACTTTTTGTTACTGTTTTTGGCATATCGAATACGTCACGAGTATCTTGCCAGGTTCTGCCGTGCGGGCAGAATACTCTTGGTAGCTTGCCAAGCTCTCCGAGAGGGGTGGAGGAATTGAACCCAGGTTGGCTGCATGAAAGTCAACCGCCCTACCCACTATGCTCCAGCCCAGGCAAGAGGAAAAAAACTATTAAAAGCAAGATGACCACTAGATGTTTAGTTGTTTTTTTTTTTTAACAGAGAGGAGAAAAGTGGTTTCTATTTTCTCACATCTTGTTATTTCACCCCCACAAAATGATGGGAAAGGGAGCAGGAAGAAAAATCTTCAGTGTTCATTAACTCCAAATGTAAGTACAGAGTTAGTGTTTGGTTTCTGGGCTATACCCAGCAGTGCTCAGGATTCATTCCTGGTTCTGCACTCAGGCATCACTCCTGATGGTGCTCAGAGGACCATATGTGGTGCCAGGAATCAAACCCGGGTCAGCAGTGGCAAGGCAAGTGCCCTACTCATTGTGCTATTGTGTTGGCCCTTGAGTTAGTGGCTTAATTGCTGTTCCAATCGTAACACTTGAAAAAAAAAATTGTTGGCCTGCCTACTTAAAAGTCAGGGTATGGGAGACTCAAGGAATTCTGGGATGCATGAAGCCCAAATGAAGCCCAACTTACTCCACTGATGAGGAGGCAAGAACAGAGGCTATCAGGAAGTGGGATGCCAGAAAGAGAACCCAGATCTCCTGACTGATATTCCCTATCAACTTTTATTATGTAACAAAATAAAAGCTTAGTATGGGAAAATAAGATCTGGATAGGAAGCTGCCCACAATCCAATCATACTATATGTGAACCACTATTCACATCTTGTTCCTCTATCACATGCTTATAGCCCTCCTCCCCAGCATATTGTTATAATCACATTGCACTAATGTTCTTTCCGATACACAGGCCTTTCACATTACCATTGACATAGACAAGCATATATATAACTGATACAATATGGAATAGCATTCACTATAATCTAGACTGATTTTATTATCTTTGCTAAGGGCACATGGTCTCAAAGAAAATTTCCCCCCTTATAACTGACACATAATACAAGTATCCAATAGCACTTACTATTACGGCTTTGGGTTCAGATCCTATTAACAAAGTCTTTAATACAGAGCTCTCAAAAGGTGCCAGTATGTAAGTATCAAGCTACTAAACCTCAGAACAAGTCTATTTACCTACCTGGTGCATCGGGTACTTGGAGAGGAATGAAAGGATCAGATACGCTTAAAAGTGGGAGGCTAGAATCCACAGTCTGCCCACCCTTCCTTTTTTCAGCTGAAGAAGGTAGAAACGGGAAGGAAGGTGGAAGAAAAAGGAAAGAGAAAAACAGAAAACATCAAGTAAATCTAGATGAATTTATCATTAGCGCAACAGCTCAAATTTAAGTTCTAACACAGAGGTAGAAAAGAGGAGTGAGTGGGTATGATCCAGTGTACCAGCAAAGCACCTGTGAGAAACAGCTTGGTGCTTACAGTATACTCAGTGAGGCAACTGATGAGAAAACTAGGATATTCAGACATACAGAGTGTGACTTCTTCCCTGGGTACTGTGGCCTACAGTCATTTGTTCCAGAATGCTGATACCAACTATTATGCATAGCACATATTCTGGAATATAAACAAACATTATTTTGTAATCAAGCACACGCATTATATAGTATATATGTATATATATACATATATATACACACACATCCTTTTATGTACCTATGTATCTCTATGTAATATTACCCTCTTGAGGTCCATAGGTGATTAAGTTCCATTTTATCAACAAATGTCTAGAGAGAGACAGGGGGAAAAAAATAGATTTTTTGCTAATAGCAAAATCAGACAAGCTCTTTAGAGATTATTTAACATACCATTGGCATTTACTGTATACTGAAGACATATAATTAACAGAAATGTATACATACTATAAGATCATGAAGGAATCTTAGGATTTTTCTAGTCTACTTTTCTGGTGTTTTTTTTTTTTTTTTTTCCTTTTTGGCTTTTTGAATCACACCTGGCAATGCTCGGCGATATAACTCCTGGCTCTGCAGTCAGGAATCACCTCTGGTGTTTCTTTTTTTTTTTTTTTTTTTTTTTGGCTTTTTGGTGATGCACAGGGGTTACTCCTGGCTCCGCAGTCAGGAACTACTCTTGGCGGTGCTCAGGGGACTATATGGGATGCTGGGAATCGAACCTAGGTTCGAACCCACTGTGCTATCATTCCAGCCCCACTTCTGGTATTTCTTGGGTGACCATATGGGATGCCAGGGATTGAACCCAGGTGGGTCGCATGCAAGGCAAGTGCCCTATCCACTGTACTATTGCTCTGGCCCCCTTGTCTACTTTTCTTAATTTTAAGAAACGGAAAAGAAAAAAAAATTAAAAACCTATAACTTAAGAGACTAGTCAGAGGTCCACCAGAAGATCAGAACCCAAGTTGAGCTAACTGTTCTTTAAATTGCATTTTAATATCTCTTGCTTATTAAAATATCCTTCGGCCATCTACAAAGAGGCTTGATTTTTAAAATATATTTTGAAATAATTACAGGATCATAGGAAGCATCTGTGCACCTCCCCCAAAGTGAGATCTTTTACAGTTCTGGCACAAAATCACTGACACTGACTGAGTACTGTTAACTAGAATTTATTAAGCATTCGACAGGTTTCCACATGTGTCCTTTCTGTGTCCTTACAATTCCTATGCCCCTGTGGAGAGAGGAGCAGGAGCCCCACCACAGGGACAGCATTGCCCCATTGCTGCCTGAGTGCCTGCCCCGCTGATGAATGCCTCTGAGGCATGCCTCTGCACCCAACCCTGAGAACCACTCACCTCTTAGCTTCTTTAAAGGTAGACTAAGGAAGACAAGGGTAAAACCACCATTCTTTGGAGGGGAGGCAGAGGGACCTCCCAAATGATGGTCCTGGAAATCACTGCTCTATTTATCTTTCAAATATTTTTAATGAGACACAATTAAAGGATTAAATTATATCTAAAAAAATGCTTCTGAAAAATGTGATAAAAAGCTATGTATGAGAATAAATATACTGTAAAATTTCAGTAATTCTCTTCTCTAGAGGTAGGGTCTTGAATTTCTTTATTGTGTTTCTGGAGGCTTTTCATTATTTCCTCAAATTCTGACAAATCAATCAGTATAAATGAGCACCAGAAAAATGGTTTAAATAGAGATACATGTCAAAATAATCGCAATTATTTAACATAGTACAAAGGCTTTAAGTGAACAGATAGATTAAATTAACCCAAATCTACAAAACAAACAAAAAAAGAGGTACATGTAAAATTTTAAGCACCTGTCTGTACCTCCTCCAACATATGGACATAGTTCATGAACATGTTATCAGCTTTTACAATAAATGTTTAAAATAACCCAGGTGACATTCTCTTCAACTACCAAATTTTCTGCTTATTTTCTCCCTTGATCTGTCAGAAGATTTAAAATCAGTGAACACATACCTGAAGTCTCAGGTTCAATCCCTGGCACTAGTGCTCCCAACTCCCAATATTAGATTGTTCTTTTAAAAATAGGAGGGAGGGGCTTTGGGTCATGCCTGGCTCTGTTCATAAGTTGCTTTTGGCAGTGCTTGAGGTCCACAAGGTCCTGGGTTGGTTGCGTACCAGACAAGTACCTTAACCCTCATTACAGCTCTCTGGCCCCCACTTCTCAAAATAAGTGAGCAGTTTGAGTTCATTTGAAAAACTGAGTGCCAGAGCAGTAAGTTCAGTTAGTAGGGTGTTTGCCTTGTATCTGACTGACCCAAGTTCGATTCCTGGTTCTCCATTTGGTCCTCCCTGAGTACTGCCAGGAATGCTCGAATGATCCCTGAGTGTAGAGCCAGGAGTAAGCACCACCCTAAATTAAAAAATTTTATTTATGAAACATGAGTTTAAAATAAAAACAATGCACAAAATTCCTAACTAATTTTAAAAAGCATAGCCCCTCCTAGTAACTCCTATGATTAACCCAAAATAGTAAAAATGAGATCATCACATGAAGATTTATAAAGATATGGGTATGATTCCAGTTTTTTTGTTTTTTATTTTCTAACAAGGGAAGCACACACTTATTAAAAAGCACCAGTGACAGAAAGTGTAAACCTCAAAGACCAGAAGGAGTGAAGTGGAGCGACTGGAGAGAGGAGGAAAGGGAACACTGAAGTATGTGTGAAAAAGCCTTTCTACAGACTAAAGTAGCCTCCCATTGGTACTCCTACTGGATGAGAACCATTGTCACATGGGAGGAAAATGAAATATTTCATTATTTCTTAAAAAGCATTTAAAAAACATACTATGTACTTTTCTTGATATTGAGAAAGCAAGCCTAAACAAAGAACAAGAGTAATAAGAAAAACACCTAAATTTTAGAATTACAAGTCAGAAAAAAGAGACTTTGTAAATCTTAAGAAACTGTCTTCCAAAGATAATTAAACAGTAAAACCCGAGCTAGCCTAGGCAAGAAAAACCATGAATATATGCAGTTAAAATCAATATATATAAAGAAATTATATAAATACAAATATATTGTTCTATTTTATTAAAACAGTGTTAAGGATGCAGATGACTTTTAAGGAAAGTATCACTAGTTTTGTGTCAGGAAGTGGGAGAAAGTCTCAGAGAGGAAGTTCTGAAACCAGAAGGTTGAGTGTCCCTCTGACACTGACCAGTTACATGGCTGGAGGAAGACACTAGCATTTTCAAAAGTTTACTTGGAAGATTCCATGCCATAAAACTCATAAAGGACAAATGACATACTAGAGGAAATATAGTGAGACATGATATAAATGCCTTAAAAATTAACAAGACCAAATAAAGAACATTTAGAAAACAGAAGAAGGAAAGGACATGAAATACACAAATCCTCAAAGAAATCAAATTAGGGAGTCAACAATGTCCTATGTATTACAACCTCTGAGTTGGGTGTGGAGGGAGATGGGGAAGAAAAAACTTTCATGCGCTACTAAGTGAAATCAATTTTATAGAATTTTATAGTGAAATCAATTTTAAAAGACAAGTCAAAATACACAGGGCTTTTCATATTACCAATATCTAAGTTTTCATGAAGAAATTATAAAGGAGAGAATGGTTCAATAGGCTGTTCAATCCGTGAAACCCAAGGTCCAAAAACCAACCCCCAACATCCAAAATAATAAAAAAGAAATAAATGTTTGGCTTCAAGATTATTTATAAGGTAAAAATTATTAACAACCTTATTATCAGAAGGGATAGTAAATAAAGTATATTACTTTATGAAGTAGCTTTCCATTAAAATTATGGTTTAGACTAATATTTATTAACAAGGAAAACTACGAATTCCTTTAGGGCATTAATAAAATGAATAACAAACTGAATCTTGGAAAATTTCTCCAAGTTTTCTTAAATACCTTAAAGCAAAAACTGTGTAGGCCATATTACCATAATGTAATTTAAAATAGCCAAAGCTATTCTTGCTTAAAGAGGGGTTAAAAACTGCAATTAAAAAATCATGGGGAAGGAGAGATAGCACAAAAATTAAAGCATGCAGGCAACCATAGTTTGATCCCTAGCACCACAAATGGTCTCATGAATACTGCCAGCACTGATCCCAGAGCACAGAGCCAGTAGGCTGACCTGAGCATCATTTGTTGTGGCCCAGAAACAAAAAAACAAAAATCCAGAAAACAAAGAGAAAAAAGAGCATTACATATCTGATATTAGGGCTAGTGTTGGGAGGAATGCACTTGACTTGTATGCAACCAACTCCAGATTGATCCCCTGCACCATATATGGTCCACCCAAGCACCAACGGGAGTCACTCTTGAGCACAGAGCCAGGAGTAGCCCCTGAGCACTGCCAGGTATGACCTCCAAACTCCAGACCTCCTACTGAGCCTATTATCCCAAATTAGGGAATGGTTGGTAAAGTGCTAACCAGAAACAATTGGTGAGGTTAGATAAACATTAATACAAACTAAAGCAAGCAAGAACAAAGAAAATTTAGCTTACTAATGTGGAGAACATGTACCACATTCAATGAAAAACTTAAAATGAAAAATATGACTATAAAGATGTACACTACAGTCCCAAGCTGAGACTGAAAATCAGGATGTTTTATTTCAGTGAGAGATAGGTAATCTTAATTAGAGCCACAAAAGTATCTACTAACAGCCTTAAAGGGTGAAAAGCCACCAATAGAACAGTATCTTAGTGGTAAGACTATGGGGACAATATGCTTCTTTGATATCCTTTTCTATAATCACTAACATAAAACAAATGGGATGGCTCATTAATAATGAGGAGATACTGGGGCTGGAGTGATAGTCCATGGGTAGAGCACTTGCCTTACATGTGATTAACCAGTTCAATTCCTGGCATCTTATATGGTCCCCTGAGAACTGCCAAGAGTAATTCATGAGTGCAGAGCCAGGAATAACCCTGAGTATTGCCAGATGTGACCCCAAACACCACCCGCCAAATAATAATGGGGAGATGTGAATTTTTTATATTGCTTTTATAGGTTTTAAAAAGTCTCATTTAAAAAGGTATCTCCCCACTCCTATAAACACACACACACACACACACACAAACACACACAAACACACACACACACGTCTAATTCTTACAATTCCTCAGGCCACACACAATTAGACTTGCACAATTAGAAGAGATCAACAGAGCACAGTTTCTCAAAGTTAGAAATATTTGCTCAAAACATGACCTACTGACAGGTCATGCTGTCATTTTAATTCACAGTGATTTGAGATCTTTCTTGTCACCTGTCTTTTCTACATGAAATATTTCGAACAAAAGATGATAAAAGTAACCTCTAGGATCTGGGGCTTCCTGGGTGTTCAAGTTAACTGTGAAGCAGAAACAAAGCGGAGATTAGGAAGCATGAGTCCTATGTTTTAGGTGTTTGCCATACTAACCGGTTCCAGCAGGGAACGAGGAAGGGGCGAAAGCATCACCTTGGGTTGTCTGAAAGCCAGGGATCAAACTCTCAGCCGAGCCACCAAGCTTCTCAGAATGTTTGCCTAGAAGACAAAACAGCACTCAGCTCATTCCTGCAGAACTCAGGGTGCACCCATGCAAGCTGAGGATGAATGGCACCTCTGGCACTGACTCTCAGACCTGGGTCCCGTTACTGCATCACAACAGCTACTCAAGGTCCATACCTAGTCATCGCAGGAAGTGAGAGAACTGCTGATAAATGGAAGTTTTAAAAATCAAAAGAGAAAGGAGCTGGAGCAATAGCACAGTGGGTAGGTTGTTTGCCTTGCATGTGGTCAACCTGGGTTTGAGTCCCAGCATCCCATATGGTCCTCTGAGCACCACCAGGAATAATTCCTGAGTGCATGAGCCAGGAGTTACTGCTGTGCATTGTTGAGTGTGGCCCAAAAAGCAAAAACCGAACAAAAAAAAACCCCCAAAACTCTATGCTTAAAAATGGTTAAAGATGAGGAGGGCTCTGGAGGGATAGCTCAATGGCAAAAACTCTCACCAGAATGAGGCTGAGAGTTGGACCCCTTTGGTACTGCCCACAGGTGCAACGGAGGGAAATTTAAATTAGCTCCAGGATTGGGGACTTTGCTGGCTTGCTCAAATCTTCTCCCAGTGGCTCTGCAGCCAGGTTTGTGTGAGCGCCGCGGCCCGAGTGACACCGTGGCAATCACCAAGAGCAGCACACAGACCCCCACCCCCAGCACATGTTTGACCCCATGACCAAACAAGCCAAGCCCCAGAGAGCCCCACAGCCAAGTGTGTGAGCTGCAACATCTGTGACCCTTGGTCATCTCAAACAGCAGCAACAGAAAAGGGAAGGGAAGCATAACTGAAAAAACAGTAAAGGAGAAATTCAAAATAAAGGGCTTTTAAAAACTGATTAAGATGGGAATTTTTTTGATTTGCATTATCTTATGATTAAAGGCACTAAAAAAGTTTTTGACTGAGGTTCTGTGATTTATCATACTACTAATGATGGTTTCCCATGTACATAATTCCAACACCACACCCCTCACTTCAAAGCCCACCACCCTCCCCCAAGGGCCTCAATTCCTCTCCTTTTCAATGCCCCCACCCCCAACAAACTCAGTTCTGTGGTGTTGCCTTTGGCCCTTCATTGCTGCTTTGCTGTGTACCTTTAAGCCTCACAAATAAAGATCATTCTGTATCTGTCTCTTTCCTTCTGACTGATTTCACTCTAGTTCATCCATATTGTAGCAAATTGCATGATTTTCTTGTTAGGGTCAATTAAAGACATTTTTAAAAAATTTTTATTAGTGAGACATCATGAGGTACAGTTGTAGACTTACAAATTTTTGTGCTTGGGTTTCAATTATACAATGATCAAATACCCATCTCTCCACCAGTGCCCATTTCCTACCACCACGGATCCCAGTATCCCTCCCACCCCCGATCCCTCCCATCCCACCCTGCCTCTGTGGCAGGTTATTCCCTTTTGTTCTCTCTTTCTTATTGGGTGTTGTGGTTTGCAAAAGAGGCAATGGGTGACAATCATGTTTGGTCTATAGTCTACTTTCAGCATGTTTCTCCCATCCTGGGAGGATCCTCCCAACACCCTTTATTTGGTGCTCCCTTCTCTATCTGAGCTCCCTTTTCCCCTAGCATGTGTGGTTGGCCTCCAAGCCATGGAGTAAAATTCCTGGTACTAATCTCAGCCATTCTTGGGTGTTAGTCTCCTATTTTGTTATTTATATTCCCCAGATGAATGCAATCTTTCTATGTCTATCCTTTTCTTTCTGAGTCATTACGCTTAACATGATACTTTCCATGTAGTACCACTTGTATGTAAATTTCATGACTTCGAATTAAAGACATTTAAAATTAATAAAATCAACGAAAGAGATGACAGAGCTGAAGCCTAAAGTGCAGGCGCATTACTCAGTCTGGGTGCCTCTAGCCCTTCCTCTGTATCCACCTCTTCTAGAATTCTACAGCATTTGGCAATCTCCCTCCCGTTTGGGAAATGGCTCTGGAGAGTACCGGAGAAGGTGGGGTGATGGTAGTGTGAGACGCTGTGAGAAGCCCGAAGACAGAAGCTGAACCTGAGAGCCAGCAGCTGGACAAGGAGAAATGAATCATCAAGACAGACTCAAGAACTCAGACTTGGAAGTCACTGAACTTAAACTCCAAAATTCAACTAGGAAATAACCTGTAAAATTCTGTTTTATAGCCCATAACAGAGGTTTGGCCTATGGTCCCTGCTCCGTAAGAAAAATCTTACCTAGCTTTTCTTTAGAAATCTATCTCAAGTTAGCCAAAAGAAAGCTTCTGATAATTGTGCCACTGGCTACTAAGGGCCTGCAGGGAGTCCCGGTGCCCCCAGGGGGCGGTAGAGCCCACTTTGGGAAACTGGCCTAGAACAATAGTGGGCAATGCTAACACACAATTTGACAACCAGTTGTCAGAGATAAATTCAATGCCATCTCAGATTATAGTTCTATAGTCCTATAGTCCTTTCTCCTCTGTCCTTTCTAGAGTAACAACCATCACAATGGTCCTGAGATTCCCATTCCTCTTTAACTTCTCCTTTGTGCTCTGCTTCTCCTATGTGTTAATCACTTATTTTCCCAAGTCAGACCCTGTGACTTGTAAAGTCAAATTCTTCAGAGAACTTTGGATTTTGTCTTTGCAAGTGAACTATTGCTTTTCTCTTTCCTTTATGTCCTTTGCAGTTTACTTTAGAGCCATGTTCTTTTTGTAATGCTATGCTTTTGTAATTTGGGAGTAAACTGACTCCAAATAATATTTACTCTTGGGCATCTGTCATATTTACTCAACTTATGCCTCAGTTACCCTAAGTTATTAACACTCCAAAAGGAGGGTCCAGACGAGGGACTTGGATGGACCCAGGGCAAGCTATAAGTTACCGAGGCATCGAAAAGGGACAAGTGGTGAGCTTCCCTGTCATCAAGAAGGGACAAGCCAAGTGCCATAGAACTTATGTTAAGAGCACAGTCATGGACAGACTCTGTCAGGACCCAAAAAGAAGTAACTGGATAAGGACCCGACTGGGGTTAGGAAAGACTAACCTGGCCTGAGGTCTGTGGTATGGGATATATAGCAAGATGTCCCAGTAAGAGCCAACCTTTAAGCTTAATATATCTCTGACTGTGTCCATACAAAATGACTAGAAATATTATTAAGAAGTAAATTTAAGGGGCTAGAGCAATAGCACAGCGGGTAGGGCATTTGCCTTGCATGCAGCCAATCCGGGTTCGATTTCAAGCATCCCATATGGTCCCCCGAGTACCGCCAGGAGTAATTCCTGAGTGTATGATCCAATACATACCGCCTGTGCAATGCCGGGTGTGACCCAAAAAGCGGGGGGTGGGGGGGTGGGGGGGTAAATTTAAGATGACCCTTGAATGGATATGAACTAATAAAAGGAGGGCTATGCCCTTAGATGGAATTCTGTCCTTGGGCAGATCTCCTAACAGGATGAGATTTTTAGAAGCTTCCCCTGAAGGAAGGGCTTTGCATCTGTTGATTGTGCAACCACACCTCTGAGTAACTGCTACCCCCAACTCCTGAGGATTTTCTCTCTATAAGGCTATGATACTGGGAGAGAGGAGACTGGAATAAACAGCAACTGATTACCATCCACGTGCTCCTCACTGTCTGCTGGCTGCGGTAAGGAGGCGGCTCACGGCCACCAAATGCACGCGTCGTGCACACACACTCTGAACTCACACTCAACTGTTCAAAAAGGCAAGAGAACAGGCCCATGGGATACAGCACCAAGGCCAGGCCATACAGGCTTATGCGGGACTGATAGGTTCTGTTTTCAGTGCAGCATGATCCCCCAGCACTGCTGGGTATGCCCCCTTGCACCACAAGGCAGGAAAGTAATACATATTTTAAAATATCTATATAAATATAAAATATCTATAAAATATAAAATATCTATAAAACAATATTTACTAAAATGTCCAAAGTAACACCACCTGCCGAGTTTGATTATTCCTTTACTAGGTATTCTTTTTTTTTTCCCCCTTTTTGGGTCATACCTGGCGATGCACAGGGGTTACTCTTGGCTCTGCACTCAGGAGTTACTCCTGGTGGTGCTCAGGGGACCATCTGGGATGCTGGGAATCAAACTCAGGTCAGCCACATGCAAGGCAAACGTCCTACCTGCTGTGCTATCTCTCCAGCCCCACTAGGTATTCTTTTGTAACTGTATCATATTACAGAATTTTTCCCAGGTTGCATGCGATAGTTTTCCAAAGTGTGTATTTATTTGTAAGAACATGTGTGTATGTGAGTGTATGTGCACGCGTGCACATGTATGTTTTCTGTCTTCCAAATTAGACTGTGTGAGGGCAGAAATGAAACCTTCCATTTACTTTTTCCCCCCTCCTCTGTCAGCCAACAAGTACTATAGAACTCTGATCACAGTGAAAACATTCAGCATCCTGGGGAAGGGAATGCAAATGGGCCAGCAGCTATGACTTTCTCAAATAATAAGGATGATGAAACATTTAATATGCAAAAAAAGCCTCTTGATTTGTACTCACAGCTCCAAATCAAGCCTTTGAGGGAAAGACTGAACCAGGTCTATATTTTCCCATGTACATCCCTCTCAAGTGGGAGAATCACAAAAAGACACCAATTACGCACCTTCCCCCAGCTTGGCAAAGTCCTTGTTCAGCAGTTCTTCAGCTGTTAGTTTGGAGAAATTATCGTCGTCGAATGGATTCCATGTAGAACCTTCTGATGGATTATAAACATTTTGCTGGGAGGTCCGAGGGGAGCCCGAAGGAGTGGTGGTTGCTGACCTAGGTAGATTCCCATCCCCACGAGATAAAAAAAAAAAACATAAAAGTTGAAAAGAGTCAACCTATTTTTGTTTCAAGAGCAAATTCTTTTCTGAGTCAAACCATGATTTTTCAGTGTTTTTCTAAAAGGGCTTTCCGTTGGTAAGGAATGCTTTCCAGATACCCTCTCCCCTGGGTGAAACAAAAGTCTCCCCTTTCTTCATGATTCACTTTTGTCTATCACGTTAATCTGCCTAAGTTCTTTAGTCTCCTCTGAAGAAAGTTTCAATTCAGGACTCCAAAGTGACCTGTGATTAGGCTTGTCCCTCCTGTGGTGACGACTGCAATAGCCATACTAACTGATGCCTAGTCAAATTGCCTCCCATCTGTCAGAATCTAGCACTCATAGAATTAAAGCCCACCACTAGTGGTCACCATCATATTTAATGAGAAACAAGGACACAATCTTTTATTTCTATGCATTATTACATAATATCTCCGAAATTCTCTCTTTGCATTTAGCTAGTGCTTTGAAGATTCTTCCAAACATTATCGTGCCTGATTCCAAGAAAGTTGAGGGTCTGAAAATGCATGTACTAAATCAATCCTTTCTGAATTCTACTTTATGACAGGCACTGGGTTTTCAGATGTTAAGATACAGTCTTCCATGGTCTTGAGAGAACTCAAAGCTAGATACACAATCAAATAACAATATTTCATCGTAACAAATACTTTTTTTTTAAGTTTTAGACAAAATTATATAACTGCCAGAGGAAGGGCCAAAGAAAATGTAACCTTTGGTATGCATCTTAGTGAAAAGTAAGATTTCTTAGACGGACAAGGACAGTGACTGCTCTGGGAGATGGAACAGACAAAAGCATTCATGAAGACTGAATACTGGTAAGTTTGCCAATGTGATCCAGTGGGTCTTGGTCAATTAACCAGTGAGTTTAGGTATTACCCCACAGGCAAAGGGAAGCCAAATGAAAGATTGTCAGATGGCCAGACTTGGTCAAACCAAGACTCAGAAAACATTCTAAAGGACACAGATTGGATAAGAGAATGGGAACAGTGAGACGTGAAGGAAATTATGCCTTTGAATCCATGTGGCCTATGTACAATAAGCAAATCCAGTGTCATCCTAAACAGAGATGCACACTACCACACACACACACACACAGACACAAACACACACACACACACAGAGCTAAAGATTCTATAGGAAAGGCACACAAATGTATGAAAGATAAAGGAGAAGCATCACATACTTGGATTTATTGAGACTGGCCTCAGCTGCAGCTGCCTGGAGCAGCTGGGTTGATTTGCTGGCAGGTACCCCAAAGACTGCACTGTGGGTTACATCACTGAGAATTCGTCTGTGACCAGCACGCTGGGTCTTGGGGGATGATGGGGGCGTGAGAGATCCAGATTTCTGCCCCTGGACAGCAGGGGGTGGAGTTGTTTGAACCTTTGGTTGTTGTCGTACTGGGGCTTGAATCTGCTGGGAAGAGAGATGAAAAGGCCCCCCCACGAAGGGGTGGGGGAAACATAAACAGGCAAGCATAACCAAAATGTCACATGAGAGCTAAAATGGGATTCTAATGATAGAGTCGATACGAGGTGGAAAGAAGAAACCTGGCTCTGACTCTCACAGCTGAAACTCTGGGACTGACACCAACATGGCATTTTGTTGATACTCTATGTATATTTCAACCTACACCAGAATGATAAACGAGGGTAACCACGAGCAACTCAACCCAGAACCTCTGACTGCAGAAGCTAACTCCTATCTCTAAAGACCTAGAGTGTTTCCTGATGGACCGTTGTTGCTTACGAGTTTGTAGCAGCACTCATTCAGAATGCCCCCTAAAAGCTTTATTCAAGCTTCCACTATGACAGGCAGAAGCCAATGAAAATGCACTTCCAGCTAAAACACATTTGAGCTGAACGGTTTCTGCTGAGAGGTCCCTGACTCATTAACAGACACTAGGCCACTTGTTTGCAGTAAGTTAGAATTCTGGCATGATAAATGGCAAAGCATTTTTTTTTTTCGTTAAGACTCTTTCGTGTGGCAATCCTGGAGAAAACGTATAACACTGGGGTAGTAGAATCAATTTAATTCATTCCTTGGTTTGGAAACAGTGCTGAAGAGTTCAGTAAGGAATATTAACCAGAGTAAAATCACTTTAAGTCCTTGATGATAGACTGATCTAATAACACAAAGATGAGATGTAGGCCATTTTCCAAAGGCAGAACCAGTTGTTAGAAAAACAAAGAGGCGAGAGCATCCTCGAAGCCATATGATTAGCTTTGACACATGAGTCAAGGACTACAAAATGCTGTACCAAGAAAATAAGCACAAATAATATTAAGGCCACTGATCTTTTCCCCTTGATTCTGTCAAATGAGAGATATCCTGATTGAAGACTCTCACCCGTCTTAGGTGTTTAACTATCTGCTCGCTCCAGGCCTTCATTGGTTATAGTTGTCTTCCATGCTGCAGCTCAGTCCTCACGTTCTTTTTTATTTCTTTAAAGTTTTTTCTTTTTTCAAATTTTTTATTATAAAGTCATGATTTACAAAATGACTGAGAGTTGCGTTTTAGGCATACAATATTCCAACATCAATCCCTCCACTGGTGTCAACTTTCCTCCACCAGTGTTCCCAGACTCTCTCCCCATCCCAAGCCCCACTCCCATTCTGTGTCAAGAAACAGCCTGGAAGAGTTCACAAACCAGAGGATCCGGCTGCCTGCCTCAGGAGGCCAATGGCTGGTGATTTTCTGACCTTATACTAACTCTGACTTTGATTTTTATTGAGATGGGCTACGTGCATATACAGCCACTCACCAGCACCTTTTATTTGGAAGAATCGAAACCAGTGGTTTTCAGCCTTTTTAGCCCCACAGATGGGAATCAGTCCACAGAGACACGCTCAGGGCTTTGACTCCTGGTTCTGCTCTCAGGGCTCACTTCTGGTGGTGCTTGGGGGATCACAGGGATCAAACCATGGGGGTCGAGCCCGGGTTCAATACACGCAAGGCAAGTGCCCTATTAGCTGTACTATCACATCAGCCCCTTTCTTAGGCTCTTTTTCTTCATTTTTGGTTCTTGGGCCATACCCTGTGATGCTCAGGGGTTACTCCTGGCTCTGCACTCAGGAGTTATTCAGGGGATATCTGGGATGCTGCGGATGGAACCTGGGTCAGCCATGTGCAAGGCCAGGGCCACACATGGTGCACTATAGCTCCAGCCTCCTCTTACGCTAATTTTTAATACAGCGAAAATCTCAATGATACAAGCCATTTTCCCACTGCAAACAACTGATTAAGATGTTGAAGGGTGTCCTTTACTTTCACTCTCTGGCTTTACCATGCAAGTCTTGGTACAGGTCACTGGGTCACTGGAGAAGGGGGCTATCTGGCTCCCGAATGAAGTGTGTCCACCCCTGTTCACTCTGTGCCCCCACCGACTGTCCCTGAGCAGAAGGGCTCTCAGTAGTTTTCCATCCAAGGAACATAGAGAAAGTTCCTAACTCCTTCCAGAGAGAGTGGACACTTTTCCTTTACCCACTATTTTGCAGAGCCTGGGATTGCATGCATGGTGTCACAAGACAAGTGGAGACGTAAGCCCAGCGACAGCAGAGGGGAAGCTCCAGTAGTCACTGGCAGGTAGTCACTCTGTCACCCTGGAAGGGCTTTTGCCATTTTTGTCCTTGTACACAGATTAAGATTTGTATGTTCTTAGTCCCCTCTGCAGCTAGCAACCCATATGTCCTGGGTCATCACTGTTTAGCCTGGGCCTCAGAATCTGACACCACCAACCAAATGACCGCTATATCACCCAGTATTTTTAAAAAACCCCTTTTCCACGAAGAAGAGGAACACTATCTTTGCTTAAAAACACAGAGTAGCTGTCTACCACACACCTGAAGACTGAGCTGTTCCAGAACTGAGGGTGCAAAGATGCCTTAACCGAGTCTTAAAGACAATCTATTTACATCACTGCTCCCTTTGGAAGGGATGTGGGTTCATCTTGGTTAAAGAGAGTGACAAAACGCTATTAGAAATCAACCCACAGAAAGGCAGTGGCTTACTTTTCCTTCCTTCATCTACGCATTGGATATCCCTAGGGATAACAGAGTATCTGACCCTCTATCACCTCAGTATTAAAATGCCTTTTCTATCACCACGCTGAAAAAGCCTGAAAAAACTCGAACTAAAGAATCAAGAGTGATTATCAGGTCAAAGGTACAATGTGCCTGGGGGCTAGAGTAATAGAAAAGAGGGATGGACGTTTGCCTTGCACACAGCTGACCTGAGTTTGATCCCCAGCATTCCACATGGTCCCCTACACACCACTCAGGAGTAATTCCTGAGAGCAGAGGCATGAGTAACCCCTGAGCATTGCTGGGTGTGACCCAAAAAGCTAAAAAAAAGGGAAGGAAGGAAGGAAGAAAGTGTGCCTGAAGATACTGACATTGACTGGCCAACTGGGAGAGGAGATGGAGGTGGGACGCTATCCACAGCCACCAGACTGAAGTGGAACCACCCATTTTCTACACTAACAAGATGGCTCAAACAGACCAGGACTCTCTGGTGCCAGGGGAATTAGGCTACACAAATAGTCCCAGGCAAGCAGGTCCGTGAGGGCTACTGTGTGGCAGATCTCAAAGAGGTGGTAGCAGTGCCATCCGGGACAAAGAAACAACATTGCCAAGACTCGAGGTAAACATGGGAGAGACTGCAGAGGGAAGGCGCTTACCCTACACATTGTCAACCCCAATTCAATCTCTGACACCATCAGGAGTGACCTCTGAGCTCAGATCTCTGAGGAAAGCCTTCAATGGCCAAACTGCCCCTGCAAGGGCAAGGAATGAGCTCTGCCCTGCCTTGGCTCTTTGACCATGCAACCCTGGCACCAGCCCGACTGAGACAAGAACTCTTTTGTCACTGCCATTTTAGAGTCACAGGTAAGTGACAGATTATCAATAGCCTAGAACCATCTTTGTTTTTTTTGTTTTTTTTGTTTTTTTGTTTTTTAATTGTAACAAACTGGGCTATACCCAAGTGATGCTCAGGGGTTACTCATGGCCATGAGTCCTAGAATGAGCATTAGAAAAAAAAAAGTCTGCCTTCAGTTGGAATCTCTGATGCTGTTCTTGGACAGCTCAAGAAAAGGTGATGCTCAGGAGTTACTCATGAGATACTGGACGCACGGCTGTGGGGAACCGCCTCCTGCCCTCCACCATGACCCGCACCAGCCGCTCAGCATCCCCTCCTGCCCCTTTCTGAGTCCTCGCAGGTGTGTTTCTCCAGCCTTTCTGTTCCCAGCCCTGCCTCATTCTTACCGCTGGCTCCTGGCCTGGGGTGGGCTGGGGGGCTGCAGGGGGCTGTGCCGTGGCCGCTGAGGGCTGTGGCTGCTGCTGTTGCTGTTGCTGCTGCTGCTGGTAGAAGTTCTGCATCAGCTGCTGCTGAGACCCTCCTTGGGACACCACAGGGAACTGAGCAATCGCTGGTTGCTGGGCTGCCTGAAACTGTGCAGGAGAAGGTCAGCAAAGGCCCGTTTCAGAGCCCTGTTTCACAATGGCGGTGGGGAGGGGGGCCTGTGTCAGCAGATGCTGAGCGTGATGCTGCCGCCAGAGGTCAAGGCAGGGTCCCCCCACACAGCCAGGTTTGCCCCACCGTGCCAACCCCCACCCCCCCCCCACTTCCTGCAGACGAGGCTGCCGCACCACAGGGCCTCTGGCTGGCAGGCACCGGCTACCTCCACCTGCTGGAGCTGATCAATACTGTAAATGTAAACTTAGCTATATAACTTTTAGAGAAATATCGGCTAAGAGAAGCAAAAAAAAAAAAAAAAAAAAAAAGGATCTCCTGATCACAGAACCACTCCCTCTCATAAAGGGATTTGGAAGTAATCAAGATAAAATGGCCCCAACATGACCAGAATAAAGCAATGAAGAGAAGACACTGAGAATAACCAAAACGGTAGCCCAGCAAGAAGTCATCGGAAGTCCTTCTGCAAATTATTTCTCAGAGGTACTGCCCCTATTAAACTCCTCCATCCTATTTGTTTTTAATACTTTATTTAAACATCCTGATTTACAAAGTTGTTCAAAATACAGCTGTTTCAAGAATTCAATGTTCCAACACCAATCCCACCAAGTGTGACCTTCCCTCCACCATTGTCCCAATTTCCCACCTATCCCCAAGCTTGCCCCTAGGCAGGCACAAGATTGTTTAGTTTTTACTGCTTGTTACAACACACACTAAAAAATTACTCTTGGGGCTGGAGAGATAGCACAGCGGTTAGGGTGTTTGCCTTGCACGCGGCCGACCTGCGTTCAATTCCCAGTATCCCATATGGTCCCCTGAGCAACACCAGGAGTAACTCCTGAGTGCAATGCCAGGAGTAACTCCTGTACATAACCAGGTGTGACCCAAAAAGCAAAAAAAAAAAAAAAAAAAATTACTCTTATATTAATAATTCCCTTTGTTGGGAGGGTTGCTGCTTAGATGTATGGGATGGCATGTGCATGCTGGCTCTCTGAGGTTACATAGTTGCTGGCTCGCTGAGGTTACACAGGTGCTGGCTCTCTGAGGTTGCACACGCATGCTCATCCTATTTGTTTATAACTTAAAAAACAATTGGGGGTGGGGTGAGTTTTCCAAGCAGTACTCAAGGAGGCTGGGGCCATTTCTGGAGATGCTCAGCCTCTTACAGTCCCATTCTTGGGCCCATAGATGTGGTGCTGCTTGGCCAAGCAGTTCTGGGGACCTAGGGACCGTGTGATGCCAATGATCAAACTTGGGTCACTATATGCCAGGCATATGCTTCAGTTCTTTGAGCTACCTCCCTGGCCCCTAACAGCCCATATCTTTAAACACTCAACATATTCAGGATTTCACACTTACTGATATTTTATCTTATATTGCTAATTGTTTATTTATATTATCTTAGAAAGTTTCTAAGGACAGAAGCACTTCTTGTATGTCTCTCTACTACCCACTGCTAGGGATTATATGCTAGATAGGCACATAAAGCTCAAACAAGGGCCTGCTGAAGAACAAAAGTCAAGGACTTGTCTCTGGACATCCTAATAGTGCTACTTAGTTGGAGTGTTAACTGAGATGATAGATTGTCCACAGGAGCAATGTTAGAGTATTAGCAAAGAATTACATGTCAAAATATAGTGCCTATTTATAAGAACAAAATGCTCAAAACAACCAAATGTCTAACAAGAAGGGACAGACTGAATGAATAAAATATGCAATACCTCCTTAAAAGGGAACACTTTTGAGTTGGACCAGGAATAAGGGATGCCTCAACAACTGGGAGAGAAGCAATAGAAATTTTGCAGATTTCACTTGGAAACTACAATTTTTCACATCTTCACAAAGCAAAACCAAATCAAGATTTTAAAATAAAAAGCACACATGCAACGCAAAGCAAATAATCTTGTGCATCAAGAAGGCAGCCAAATTCCCCATAAAATGAAGTGCTGTGCCTTCCAAGGACAAAAAGAGCAAAGAACTCTTAAAAGTGTTTTTACTAATCACTGTCACTGTCCTTCCTTTGTTCATCAATTTGCTCAGTAACACCTCTATTTTGAAACTTGTTGTTACTGTGTTTGGCATATTGAATACTTCAAAGGTAGCTTGCCAGGCTTTGCATTGTTACTGTTATCCCATTCCTCTAAGTCAAAGTAAGTACCTAGGTTAATTGTTGCTAATCAAGATTTCCAGATGAGGGAAAAAGATCCCCACAAAACCCAGAAGTTAAACAAAAACTCCTTAAAACCAACCTGAATTAGAAATATAAATTTGAATTTACAATAGTTTAATAGTCTATTAACAAAACAAAATACTGTTTTGTTCCTAACTGCTCTCTTAAGAAACATTAAAAAAAATAATTAGCACCTAAGGATAGTAGAAATAAGGGCCAGGAGGATCGCTCCCCAGCTTAGAAGTCGGTCTCATATGCTAAGGGCAAAGGCATCTAGGATAGAGAAGGGACCACTAAGTAAATGATGGTTGGAGGACTTGCTTGGGATGGGAGATGCGTACTGAAAGTAGACTATGGACCAAACATGACAGCCACTTAGTAACTGTATTGCAAACCATAACACCCAAAGGGAGAGAGAGAAAGAGGGAATGTGCCTGCCACAGAGGCAGGGGATGGGTAAGGGTGGGGGTGGTAGAAGGGATACTGGGAACATTGGTGGTAGAAAATGGGCACTGGTGGAGGGATGGATAAATCTATCACTGTATGACTGAAACATAATCACGGAAGTTTGTAAGTCTATAACTATCTCCCAGTGATTCATTAAAAATAATAATAGATTTTAAAAAATCAATAGCAAGTATTTCTAGCACCAAGACTGTAGTCTCTACATGTCACTTCCACTAAAAGAAAACAGAGCTCCATGAAGAACTGGCTGATTCCAAGGGAAAGCAGAGTCTGGAATGGCATGCTACCCTAACAAGAGAAAATCATGAAAGACAGCTGACATTACAAAGGACCCTGGAACCAAAAGGAGAGACTTCTACCGGCCAGAGTTGGGAAAACTAGAGCATCAAAATAGAAAATTCTGGGGAAGGGAACGCAGTTCAAAGGGCTGGAGTGCATGCTTGTATGAGGGAGAAACTCCCACACTGCTGGAAGAAACTCCCAAGCACAGAGATAGGAGCGGCCTGAGTACTCCTGCGTTTGGCACTAAAACCTAACCAAAAGACACCAAAACAAGCAACTGAAAAAAAAAAAGAAGAAGAAGAAGAGACATCTCTCCTGCCCCCTCAATGTCTAGAAATATGTCAGATTAAAAATCTATGGTTCAAAATAAAATTAAAACAAAATAAAACCTCCATTACCAGGAACAGTTATTCTATTTCTGGTAAACCTTTTTGTCTGTGTGCATAGCGGGGTACAAACAATGCTTCCAAGTAATAAAAAAGTTGATGAAAAAAGTTCTTCATAAAGGAGGGTGCTAGAATATTTTACCATCCCTAATAAATAAAGGGATTTTAAAAAAGTTCAGGAAGAATGTGCTAAGCTGATGGGAAAATTAAATTAACAAAGTAAGTTGGAAAGTCAACCTCACGGATAGACTTTTTTCAGTGCTGGGGATCAAAGCCAGGGCCTCACATACGGAAGGCAAGTGCTTGACCACTGAGTCACCTCCCTGACTCAGAGACTAATAGGAAGAAAAGACAACCAGGCATTTCCTGAGGAGAGGCACCAAGGGGAGGGATGGGGGGAGGGACTATTAATGGACTCAGATACCAGTTTCCAAAGGAAATGGAAAAGCATATAAAAGTGCACCACAGGGAGGCCATTAGCCAACCCTAGAACATCGAAAATTCTGTAGGACAAATGACCCAGTTTCTTAAAAAAGAAAAGCAATAAAGACAAAGAGAGAGGGAGAGGTTCACTTCCAGATAAAAGGAAAGTTAAAAGATCAATAATTATCAAATGAGTATGTTTGCGGTCCAACCAAGTATAAAAGATTGATGAATGAATGAAAATATAAGAAAAATTGTAGCACTGTCCTCCCGTTGTTCATCAATTTGCTCGAGCGGGCAGCAGTAACGTCTCCATTGTGAGACTTGTTACTGTTTTTGGCATATCGAATATGCCACGGGGAGCTTCCCAGGCTCTGCCATGCGGGTGGGATATTCTTGGTAGCCTGCCGGGCTCTCCAAGAGGGACGGAGGAATCAACCCGGGTTGGCCGCGTGCAAGGCAAATGCCCTACCTGCTGTGCTATCCCCCCATGCCATAAGAAAAATTACTAGGGAAAAAAAAACAAAAACCCAACCCAAACCAGCAAATAGAACACAATACAACATGTGGACCATGTCTGGACCCTAACTCAAACAAGTCAACTTTAAATTATGAGAGAACAGAGTTAAACACTACTGAATATTTGATAACGAATCATTATTTTAGTAAGGTAAGGGCGTCATACTGATGTTAGGGAAAAATAGAAGAAAACAGCTTAAAAAAAATAGTTCCAAAGCTCCAAGAAGAGTGCTGCAGAATGTTCTGGACATTATATTCTATCCATGACAAGCAATACAAAACAAATTGTCTAGTGTTGCCTTTTCAGCAGGTTTGAGTGGTGGTGGGTTTGGTGTTGAAATATTGAATGTAACCGAAGTAGAGAGAGTGCATGGGGAAAATTGTCTGCCACACAGGCAGGGGAAGGATTGGAATGAGGTGTGTGTTTGGGGGGGGCGGGAGATACTGGGGATTTTGGTGGTGGAAAAAGTACACTGGTGAAGGGATGGGTGTTTGATGATTCTAAAAACGAAGCTCAAACATTAAAGCTTTGTAACTGTATTTCACAGTGAATCAATAAAAAGGGGAGGGGGGATAATTTTAAAAAGATAGACAAATAGGGGCTGGAGCCATAGCACAGCGGGTAGGGCGTTTGCCTTGCACGTGGCCAACCCGGGTTCGATTCCCAGCATCCCATATGGTCCCCTGAGCATCGCCAGGAGTGATTCCTGAGTGCAGAGCCAGGATTAACCCCTGCGCATCGCCAGGAGTGACCAAAAAGTCAAAAATAAACAAACAAACAAATAAAAACAAATAGTTCCTTCCCTGAGATTCCTCAGTCTGGTCAGAGTCCCCATGGTTGGGCCGGGCAGATGGCTCAACAGGTTAGGGTACACGGCTGGGGTGAGGAACACCAAGAACATACAAATACAATCCCTGAGTGGACCAGTGACACCCCCCCCCCCCCCCCCCCGCCATACTGGTGGGTATACGCCTCTTCCCCAGCAAAAAATATCAAACATAAAGATTTCCCAGGACTCCGTCCTGTGATAACGGTGGGCAGCGTGGCGGGGTTGGCTCTGCGCTGCCAGGGCTTCCCCAGGGAGACGTGGCACGGTGCAGGCCCTGCCTCACCACCCACCTGCTGGGCCTGGGCCTGCGGCGGCGGCTGCTGGTAGAACGTGCCGGCCGGCTGTTGGGCCGGCTGCGGCTGAGGCGGCTGCTGCTGCTGGGGCTGCGATTGCGGCTGTGGCTGTGGCTGCTGCTGCTGCTGCTGTTGCTGCTGCTGCTGCTTGAGGAAAAGTTGCTGCTGGTGCTGGGGAGTGGCCTGGGCCTGCGTGGGCAGACCCTGTGCTTGCGAGGAGGCTGGCGGCTGTGGAACGGGCTGGGCTTGTGGCTGCTTGGGCTGCGGCTGGCTGGCTGGGGGCTGTGTTTTCGATGGAGGGACACTGGGTAGAAGGCCAGGCTGAGTGCTGGATCCTGCGGAGAGAACACGTGTCCTGTACAGAAGGGCTCGAGGCTTTTCCAGATGAAGATGTTCCTCGTTTGCCAGAGCAATACAAAGGGGGCAAAGACATGGCTCTGTAACCCTAAGATCCATGAATTCCTGTCTTAGTACCTAGAAACAGCTTTCTTCTTCTTCTTTTTTTTTGGGGGGGGGGGAGGGGGTTGTCACACCCAGCGATGTTCAGGGGTTACTTGTGGCTCTGCACTCAGGAATTATTCCTGGCAGTGCTGGGGGACCATATGGGATGCCAGGGATCGAACCTGGGTCGGCCGTGTGCTAGGCAAACACCCTACCCGCTGTACTCTGGCTCCGGCCCCACAGCTTTCTTGTTGTTGATTTGTTTTTGTTTATATATTTCTTTTCAAAAAAGGTTTCAGAACTGGGGGGAGAGCTCAAAGGGTCGAGGAGTACCAGGTCTTGCATGCAGTCGGGGCTAAGACTGATGTTTGGCATTGCATGGACCCAGAGCACTGGTAGGCAGCAGCTTGGTGACCCCCAGGACTGCATTGCCAGGGTAAGGCACTGAACAATCATGCCTGCAGAGTCAGATGGAGTATTGGAGAATGGCCTCAAGGGTCCTCACTGAGCATTACCTGAGAGGCCCCTTTATCATTAAAAAAAAAAAAGTGTTTTAATATTTGCCTCTTTCAGAAAATCCTGATTCACCAATTAAAGTAGTCCAATACTAACCACCCAATTTAAGTCAAATCACTTTAAGTCAGCATCATGAGTGTTTGCATATAATGGGCGTCTGATGGCACCATACACCATCCCTGCACTCTGAAGCATATTGCAGGACAAAGGCATTCTTTAATGGTTTATATGCAAGTCATAGAACTCCAGTCTGGAAGTCATTAGCCACCAAATTTAGTCAGAAACAGCATTTTGGTAGTGGATGGTTGAGTTTACCTAATAGTTAATTTTGGTTTCTCTCTGTCTCTGTTTCTCTTTCTCTTTCTGTCTTTCTGTCTCTGTCTCTGTCTCTCTGTCTCTCTCTCTGTCCCCCCCTCTTTGGGGCCACACCCAGTGATGCTCAGGGGTTACTCCTGACTCTGGACTCAGGAATTACTCCTGGTGGTGCTTGGGGACCATATGGGATGTCAGGGATCGAACCCACATTGGCCATACACAAGGCAAGAGATAATGCCATTATACTATATCTACAGCCCAACTACTCAACAATTTTGACCTACACACTTTAAGAAGCTAAACACAGTCCTCTCATTTAGAAACAGATATCCAGATAAAGTGATGATGAATCCTTTTAGGCGGGGATTATGAAAGAAACAAGTCCTGGGCCTGGAAGATTGCCTACATGACAGGGCACATGCCTAGCACATCCCTGGTAACCACATGGCCCCCAAGCACCACTGGGTACAGCCCTGCTGGCCGCTGAGCACCAACAGGCTAAGCATTACTGGTGATGGTCCCTATCCAAAAGGAAAAGAAAGAAACAATTTCTGTGCCAAAAGGGGTGAGTCCCGATTCTTTTAAGATAAGGTTAAGTATACAACATATTAAGAGGTTAATATGAAATGCATGGGCCAAGTCGCCAAATCAGGTCAAGATTAAGAAAAAATGAAAACACAGGCCTCAGTGGTCTTGGCCAACCCCAGAACTCACAGAGAGGTACCCACTTTCATCAGCCACAAGAGGCAGCTCCCCTCCAGGACCTCAGGGAAAGCCATTATCTGCTGAGCCGCTGGATTCTATCCCTGAAGCAAAAGCAGGATCTGCAGGTCTTGGAAATGACCCAGGATGACAAAGAGATAAAACAAGTCCCAAACCAACCCAGTGACTGACCTGCAGCCTGCGGTGGGGGCTGAACCGTGGCCCTCTTTCGGGGTGTCAGGGCAGGCTGTATGGGAAGGATTCCTGGGTTTGGCTGAGTCTGCCCGGCCTTAGGCCTCTGACGGGGTGCAATGGAAGTCTCTGTGGTGGGAATGGGATCTGTCAACCTACAAAAGGAGAAGAAACAGAAAAGACTCATGTTAAAAGATGGAAAACAGGATAAAGGCTGACTGAATGGGTCAACTTTCTCCCTCCATGCCCTTGCAAACTTTCCAGATTCACTTATCTGAAAATTTAATCAGATAATATTCTGCAGGATATTATTTATCAATAGATGTTACGAATAAAGGCTCCATGGACACATGCATTTAATATATATATATATATATATTGCAGATTTCCCTATAAATTGGATGGGATTGTTAAGGCATGCCCTACAATCCCATCCAATTTATAGGGAAATTTGCATGATTTCATCTTTTACAGCATGGTATTCCATCGTGTATACATAGCATAGCTTCTTTCAGCTGTCATTGAACATGAAGCAAAACTCTACCTTAGTAAGTCATTGTCATTTTGAACTTTCTAACATCCATAGCCAGACTGAATAGAAATTAATAACAGAGAGGATCAGTGTGCAGTCTGTTTGCTCTACATAAGCAAGCAGCCTCTGCCGATGGCACTAAAGCCAGGTGTAACTTCACTCATTTATAGCAGTTCAGGCCATGTGCTACTTTGCATATCAGATTGGAGTATCCTTTGAAAATGTACTTTGGGGAGTGTAGCTGAGGTCATGACCAGAAGATTCTAGTGTCATGAATATGTCCATAGCATGTCTGGCACAGACACCATGGAATGTCAAACAGGAAGCGGGGCAATGGCTGCAACCAAGGTATGTCCACTGTGGACTCTGAGGTTTTCCACAGGTACCCTAAGAAGAATGCTCTGGGCCTGGGTAAAGGGCTTGTAATTTAAAAGCTGCCATGTTCGGGGAGGGCTACAACCTGGGGAAGGGAGATGGGCTGGGAAATGAGAAAGATGTTAGTAAAGCGGAGAAAACTGTAAAAGTCAGGGATGAGGAGAGCAACAGACTTCTTTAGAAAATCAACCTACACAAACATGATCCAATAGTCCTGAAAGCAGCATTTTATTTGATTTTTTAAATTTTATTTAATTTGGGAATTTGGGGCCACACCTGGCAGGACTCAGGATTTACTCCTGGCTCTGCACTCAGGAATCATTCCTGGTAATTCTGGGAGATTATATGGGATGCTGGGAATTGAACCTGGGTCGGCTACATGTAAGGCCAAGTACCTTACCCTCTGTACTATTTCTCTGGGGCCCAAAGTAGCATTTTAGAAGCAAGAGGACTTGGGGCTCAACTGGACATTGGGCTCTAGCTCCCCGTGAATAAACTAGTTATTCCACATTGCCTCTAAAGTCTTGTGTCCCCTGTGCGCATATTAAAGAAAACAAGATCTACTTCAGAAAACAAATATAAATGTCAAAGGCACTGATGACTGACTGAAGCACCACTATGTAGACTACAGAATGCTTGGAATGGTTGTTTGCATGCACCTCAATTAGCCATAAGAAAATTTTGAGCTCAAAGACAGGAGAGCTGGTTCTCACTTGTCCTATATATATGATCTTGGACAAATCACTTTGTGTGCAGAGAAGATAAGGGAGTGTACACTCAAATCCTGGTTCTAACTAACTTGGTCAGCTAACTTAGAAAAACTTACTTGGATTCTAAGTCTTGCTTTTCTCCTATGTGAAATGCAAATAATAGCTTCTTTGGCTTGAGTTAAGGGAAAAAATGATCTTAAGTATGTAACATTCCTAGCATGGTATCTGATACATATGATACCTCAATTCATAGAAATTCCCTTAAAAATAAAGGGGACCAGGGATCAGAGTGATAGTATAGCAGGTAGGACGTTTACCTTGCACACAGTTGACCAAGGTTCAATCCCCAGCATCCTATATGGTCCCCCAAGAACTGCCAAGAATAATTCTTGAGTTCAGAGCCAGGAGTAACCCCTAAGCATCACTGACCGTGGCCCAAAAAAAGCCAAAATTAAAAACCCAAAAACAAAGAGGACCAGAGCAATAGTACAAAGGTTAAGGCACTTGCCTTGTATGAGACACCTCCAGTTTCAATCCGACACCACAGATGGAGTGATCCCTGAACTACACTGCCAGGAGTATGCCCTAAGCACTCCAGATTTGGCCTCAAAACAAAGTGAACAAGCCAGCAAAGAATTATGGGCTGGAGACTTGGCTCAAGTGGTACAGCATAAGCCTTGCAGGGGAGAAGCTCTGGGTCCAATTTTGTCACTATACGGTCAAACACAGCTGGCCTGAGCATGACCCTGCTGGAGAGGCCCCAGGACCCTGAGAACTACTAGGAACAGCCCTCCAAAATAAACAAATAAAATAAAACTAAAAAATAAGGATACAATTGAAGAAAAAATCTACATCTTAGGATCATGAAACAAATGTGATGATGCAAATAAAACAGTTTTACCGACAGGACAAACTGGATCCAACATGCTGAAAGGTCAGTATGTTCTAACAGCAATATTGAAGTCCATGCAAACTAGGAGTATGAGCACTCAAGTTTATAACAATTTCACGTTCACTGACATACCTGATGTTCACATTTGCCTTTGAATATTATTTACTCCATACAACATAACAGAGTATAGCTCAAATGTCATCTTTTATTTTTTTGTTTTAATTTTAAAATGTATATGCCTTATGGGAATAGGGATAGGAGTTCTTGCTTAGTCACTGTTCAGACTATGTCTTGGTCCAATTCAAGATGGTTATAAACTTCGGCACAGCAGGTAGGGTACTTGCCTTGCATGCAGCTGGCCCACAATCTCCAGAATCTAGTATTGTTCCTTCAGTCCCACCCTGAGTAATTCCTGAGTCCAGAGCCAGGAATAACCCTGATCATCACCAGATATTGCCCAAAATTAAGAAATTTTAAAAATAAATAAATAAATAAACAACAACAACAACAACAAAAACAAAATCCCAAACAAGATGGTCATAAACCCATAAGCTAATTAAAACATTCCCCAGAGGTGAACAAAGGAAAAAGAAGCACTAAGTCAACCTACTACAAAGGAAGATGGATCCCGTTTAAGTTTGTTAAAAGCCAACACCAACACACACACACACACACACACACACACACACACACACACACACACACACACACACACACCACACACGTAGTGCTTAGGGTTTAGGCTTACTCTTGGCCTGTGCTCAAGGATCACTTCTGGTGGGACTCGGGGGTGTTGGGGAACAAACCCAGGATGGTTTTACTTGCTGCACTATCACTCTAGCCCCTAAAACCAAAGTCTTATTACTTTAAAGATTGCATCTGGAATAACTCTATACACACAAAACTTATTCATATAGCACAGTGGTAGGGCATTTGCCTTGTGCACAGCCAGCCCGGCAGAGCCGGGCTCTATTCCTCCACCCCTCTCGGAGAGCCCGGCAAGCTACCGAGAGTATCTCGCCTCCACGGCAAAGCCTGGCAAGCTACCCATGACGTATTCAATATGCCAAACACAGTAACAATAAGTCTCAAAATGGAGACATTACTGGGCCCGCTCAAGCAAATCTATAAACAACGGGAAGACAGTAACAGTGACAGTAAAAAAATAAATATAGAAGTTATTTTACTGTTGTGTTAAAATTCACACATTCTCATTTAGGATACTATGCTATATGCTGCTATCTTTTCCTTGCCGTGGAAGTGTGGTAGAAAGGGGGTATCAGTATCTCTTGAACTACCTTCAGAATCTGCCAGCTGGAAGGCTTGGCAGGCATGAGAAAGTGCCACAGAGACCTTCGACGACAGAGTGAGAAAGATCAAGCACCCAGCCCTGTGCCCCCAAAGTCCTACTGGCCATGCTCCCCAGTGGCTCCCAGTGCTCACACCACAGCTACAGGGAGATTAAGGGATGCAGTTTCCTTTCCTTAAGGGTCCCCTTTCACCCAGAAAGGGACTATTTCTCTCTCTCTCTCTCTCTCTCTCTCTCTCTCTCTCTCTCTCTCTCTCTCTCTCTCTCCCCCCCCCCCCGCCCCCAGCATTGTTCTCTGGCTACTCCTCTCTGTGCTGAGGAGCAACCCCTGAAGACAGTTGGGAATTCAGACTGCCGGGGTCAGCCACATGCAAGGAAGATGTCTTACTCCTTGCCATCTCTCCTGCCCGTTGGAGTTTCTAGGTCACTCCACCCAACCTTCTCTTCCCTTTGCCGAGGGTCAGATTTATTCACCCCTATGGCTTCCCAACTCTCCCTGGCTGCTCTTTATTTTTTTTCCCTCACAGAGAAGTTTTCTCAACACAACGCTAACTTCTCTCATTCTCTCTTGGCATCTGCTTCCTGAGGAGCCCAGGTCTTCGTGGAAGACCCTTGGAAGCATCACAGTCTGTCTGGCTGAGATCAACTGCAGAAGGCTGTTTATTGCTTCGTGAACTTGACCTGCTTTTTTCTACAGTGGGCTAGAGTTATGGAAAGCAAGAAGAAAAGTGAGGTGGAGGCTTGGGTGGTGAGGGAGGCTAAACGAAAGCCAAGCCACATGTTTGGGCCAATTGAAAGTTCTGCCGTAGCTTCCTCTCTGAATGTCCCTGCACCTGCTCCCAAGCAAAGGAAGCAGCTGTGGAATTCTTGACTCTCTTTCAAATGTAGATCACTGCATTTCGTCCCAGTCCTCCTTCCACTCCCAAAGAACCGCTCCTGCCTAGGGAGACAGAGCTTGCTTTCCTTTCCTGTGCAGCCTCTGGTCACGGCTGTTTCGGAATCAAGAAACACAAGTCATTCTCGCTTGTTACTCAGGCGACCAGGACAGGATGCATGCTCACTCTGGCACTTCTTACCTGGCCTTTGGCTGGGTCTTTTTTGCAGCTGCTTCACTGGCTTTCACAGGTTCAGGAAGCTTTGCAGGAATGGGCGAGTTCTAGAGGATTGAAAGAAAGTTGCTTTGTTTAAAAAAAAAAAAAAAGGACATTACAAATCTCATTTACAAAGACTAATTAGCATGAATGCTTTGATGGAAATAGACACTGGGGCTTTGGGAGTAGTTTCCAGGCCCAGAGATATGTTAACCAAAGCATGTCACAGTGGACTCAACCCCTTCGGTAGGGGAAGTACTAAGAGTGGGAACCGAAGAGCCTGCAACAGCACGTTCTCTCATCCTCTCAGTCCCTGCCCTGTAACCAGTGACAGTTTTTCTGCTCAATCCTGGCGTCCTTCCTTCCTTAGGACCTGTGGCGGAGATGTTGGGAAAGAAAGGAGAAGAGACATCTGCAATCTGTGTCACTATTCCAGCTCTCGGCTAGATCTTAGAGAAGATCTAGAGCTGATGAGTATGCCCAGCCAGTTATGTTTAATCTTCAAGTGAAAAACGGGGAGAAATCCACAGCCACAGTGTGCCTGGTTGCTGGGTCAGCACCTCAGCAGGTGAGATGTGATGCAGCCCACAAGCCAAGCAGCACTCCTCCACATTAGTTTCCCCGCACCCGCCATCCACCTGACACCGCGGCTTGGGGGGCAATTGCTGTCCATCACCAGACCACCGAGAGCAAGACATCAAGTGACGCTGAGAGTAGGGATATTTGCTTCTAGCAACTGGTTACCTCTCTGAATGCTTCCAACTAAAATTCACAGTACTGAACTCTCTGACTGGGAAAGTGGAGCAGCCAAAGAAAATACAGCAATATGTTAGGTTATCATCCAAAAGTTGTGTTTCTGAATCTGGGAAGCCTGATAAATGAAATACTACAAATAAAATTGACTTTCAGAAGGGATCTCCCATTTCCTTCATGCTTCCAGGTTGGGGGTGGGGGGATGCGGTTCGGCTGGAAAATTCCTCCTAGCTCCTCTCACACCCTTTAAGCATTCTTTTCCTTGGATGGGATAAAGGGTAGCCATTCTAACGGATAAGACTGGGAGAAACAAGTGAGCTGGCTTGGTCCATCGTCATGCCCCTTTCTTTGGGGTGGAGCTTCTCTCTCAAGGATCAGACAAACAGTGCCCAGACAGGCAGGTCTAACAGTAAGGGAGCCTAATTACTCAAGCTCTGTTCTCTCATCAATGTGATCAGCAACAAAGGCAATATTCTGAGCTCCATCAGAATACTTCCCGCTGCTGATTCCAAATGTGGGAGTGGAAGGGGTGTGTTATTTATCAGGACTTCAGGTCCCAACGGTGGCATCCAAAGTTCAACGCTGGACAAACCTAGTTAGAAAATTCCAATTCAGAACATAGTATTTATTACAAAAACACAAGAGAGCTGGGTCATACCACGACAGGCTATAAAAACACGCCGGCTATTAAAAGAGTATTTCTATTATGTTCTGAAAATTGTGCATGTAGAGTTTAGCGAAAAGTGTAGAAACATTCCGATGCTCTAACATGTGTTAGTGGGAGATTAAAGAGAAGGAGTGTGAGTTACTGATGGACAACAGAAGAAGCAAAATCAAGAATGCTCTGCTGCATTGAAGGGGAAACAGGACACGGGACCTAATCCTGGGTCTTACTCCAGGAAAGTATCTAGGTTCATCTAAGCATGCGGGTCAGTGAACTGCCAACGAGGTAATTAAGTTGGAGAATCTCCACTCAAAAGTGTCCAACTCAGTCTTTCCAACATGTTTCCCACAGTGTTTAAGAATTAAATGCAACAGGGAAATGGGATTCTCATTTCAGCAACTGCTTCAGCATTGGCCTTGCTCGAGTGCCCCAACCCAGAGAAAGGACAGCCTATGAGACAAACACCCTTAAACATTTTAAAGCTGGTTAACATCCTTAAAAATTCTAAATGATAAATAGAGTAGGTTTACTTCCCCTAACAAGCCCCTTTCACGTACCTGTACATTGGGAACTGGGCATTCTTTCTTGAGTAGTTTAAATGAGAAGTAGGAGACCTGGTAAATATCTGGCCTTTTGTCAGGGTCTGGTTCCAACATATATCCTAAAACAAATGTGTGAACTGATTTAATAATGCCCTAACAGTTATTACATTAGATAGGAAGCATAATTTCTCTGTGATCGAATTTCTTATTTTTACATTTTTAGTGATTTAATTTCCCATAAAAGTTAGTACAATTTGCCATGTACACTCAATTCTTTGAGCTCTCTGGCCTCCAAACAACAAAGTTTTAAAAACTGTAACAAAGATAGTTGAATCATACATACTGTGCAAGCCCTCTATACCACGTTCATAGTCTAGTACTTAGAAGTTACAGGGTCGTCTTCTGGCTTCCTTAGTTTACATTGTCACTGTCACTGTCCTCCCATTGTTCATCGATTTGCTCGAGTGGGCCCAGTAATATCTCCATTTTTTTGAGACTTGTTACTGTGTTTGGCATATTGAATATGTAGCGGGTAGCTTGCCAGGCTTTGCCGCGCAGGTGAGATACTCTTGGTAGCTTGTCAGGCTCTCCGAGAGGGGTGGAGGAATCAAACCCAGCTCGGTCGGGCTGGCTGCGTGCAAGGCAAACGCCCTACCGCTGTGCTATCGCTCCAGCCCAATTTACACTATCTTGCCAAATAAAAGATTATTCTTTCTTTCGTGGAAGTGGGTGTGGTTTGAGGGCACCACAGGTGGTGACAAGGGGCGACTCCTCCATCAGTGCTCTGCAGTTACACCCAGAAGAGTTTGTGGGACCTCTCAGTACTGGGGGTCAAATCCAGGGATCCCACATGCACCAGGGGTGCCCCTGTCCTTTGAGCTACCTCCCTGGCTCCAAAAGGTTATTCTTAACCATTAAAAACAAAACTCAAACTTTAAGAATTTATTCTTTTGCTGTTTTTCAATAAAACAATGATAATGTAACAAATACATCTCTGGCTTTACCACAAATTAAGGATCATTTCACATTTCTATTTAAAACTTCTGCCTATTCTGAAGCTGGGGGAAAAAATCTTGCAGAAGACACACAAACACACATAGGTACATAATAAAACAGCAAAGCAAGGCAATTTACTACTTAAGGAATCAAATTAATAGTTTGCACACGAAATGTGGAAAAGATCAATGAGGTTGCAGCTTTGTGAAGACCTTGAGAACGCAGAATTCTCTTGAAGTCAGGGAAAAAAAAATAGTGCAGCCGAGAAAACAACAATTCAGGAGAGAAACAGCTTAAGCAAGATGGGACTTGGAGAAAGGCAAGAGAATGCCTTGCCGCCCAGAAACAGGGCAGAGTACCGGCTTCCTTGTTGTTAGAGAATTGGGAAATAAGGCGGGTTGGGTGGACAGAACCAGAATAGAAAGGCTCTGAAATGCCGTGCCAAGAATCTGGGTCCTGAGGGTGACTCAGAATCTGGCCCAGGAAGGTGGCTGAGCAGGGACAAGGACAGGGTGATATTTTATAATCTTAATCTTGGGGCAAAGAGGTGCTGAATACATTGAAGAGAGAGCGGGAAAGTAGGTGGCCAATGCAATCATATGGGCTTGAGTTGATAGTCTGCAGGTACTATGGTGACAGAGAAAGGAAACAGAAGAAAAGGCAAAGAAAAAAAAATGAATGCTCCTTAGTGCATGAATGACTCCTCTCTTGCCAGCCACATCCAAAGTCATTAAATGTCACTAATCCTGGGCTTGAATGGTGATGTCACTGACAGAAAATGAAAAGCAGAGAGGGGAGTCTTGTATTGGGAGTAAAAGAGATGGGAAGGGCAAAGACAATATATTTTTAGACTTGCAGTTTAGAATGACAGTTTCAGACTCTGCAATCTGAAATAGACGTCTGTGTTAGATCCATAGGTTGTTTTTCCTAAAATGAATTTGTTGAACTCATGTTAAAAGAAGAAATCATTTATAACAACAACATCAACAAAAATCCTACCATTTTAGCCCTAAATTAAGCCACTTTTTGCCACATTGCTTTTTAATCTCATTTCTATAACTGCAATTCTAGGACAGATAACTCCAAAAACAATTCAATAATTACTACATGCCATACTTCATTCTTTTAAATACTTTCCTCCCCCTTTTAAACACAAACATGAGGAGCCATAGTGATAGCACAGTGGGTAGGGCAACTGCCTTGCACGCAGTCAACCCAGGTTCAGTGCCCAGTACCTCATACAGTCCCCCAAGCCCCACCAGAAATGATTCCTGAGCACTGCCGGGTATGGCAAAAAAAAAAAAAAAAAAAAACCAGTATGTATATATGGAGTTGATTGATGAAACTGGCAATTATGTTAGCCTGCGTATGGTACCCATCAATTTTCCGTCTCAGTGTCTGCTTTCCGATACTAGAGGAAGAATACTGAGAATTAAATGAGGTACAAGTAACACCTCAACAAATGTCAGATATTCTACACCACATCTGCTCTTTCTATTTTCTTCCCTGCTCCCCACTGAGAACCAAACTGGGTTGTTTTGGATTTATAATCCATAATGATTAAAACTTGGGTGTTCAATGTCTTGGGCAATACAAAAAGATGATAGAAGTCTGTTTCTTTAGAGTCTTAGTAAAAGGGTTTGTGCAGCGATGACTTAGTCTACCATCTGGGTAATGAACATCAGTACATTTGTTTGCTACAATGATACAAAAGAATAAGGACCCTTCAAAAAATACTTAAAACAAAAGCACTGAGTTTAAATGCTTGTTATCAAATCCAGTGATTAACCTAAATGAGAGGAAAAACCTATTTCCAGAGTTATACAGTCTTAATTATGTATTCATTCCAGCCAACGCACTGCAATCATTTTAATTTAAGTTGCTTCCAGTTTTTGCAGAGATGAATTTCTTATCACTTGATATGAGTCAGCTGGACTCCTTCGGTAGCACAGCTTTCAGAAAGACTTCAAGAGAAAAGAACTGCACTGTAGTGCTCAAAAGACAGCCAAGATTTTGGCTTGACTGGCTGACTCAGGTGTGAAACAGTTTCTTGTTCCAGCAAAAAGACCCTTCCCCTAACTAGACACAGTTCACTATCTTCAAATGACCAACCATTATCAACTGATTTCTTTATCTTTACATTCAACCTATTCACTCCTAGGATCTGATTCCTTTGTTTGCCAGTTCATACACAAATATTAGAAATGGGAAAATTTGAAAAAAAAAAAACAGACTAGAAACTTGAAATACTTACTAATCAGGCAGTGCATATCTTGGGAATATCGAGAGTTATCAGGAATCGTGAAGTTTCCGTCACAAATTGCCACCTGACTCTCTCCAAATGGCAAAGTGAAGTAGCACAATTTATACAACAAGCATCCAAGAGCCTGAAAAAAAAAAGTAGAACACTACTTGTAGTTTATCTGCTCTAACTATAAAGGGGTCTGAGATTCTGGCATCATTCCACACTCTTAGGAGATATAAAAAACCAAACAAGTACTATCAACCTATTAGAAATTTGAACTTGGAACCAAGAGCACAATTTAGTTGTTGATTTACATTGTCTCTACATCCATACCAAACTGTGCTCCAATAAAGAACAAGTATTTCAGCTGCTTTACAAATGAGTAACATGTGAAAATCACCTAAACAATGGGCAGTCACTGGAATAATTTTCACAGAGCTTGACAGTAATTTTCTTTGACATGCTTCAAGCAGTGGTTGGTCAAGAATAACCCTGAGGGATAAGTGGATAATGACATGGTACAGTGGCCACTTGTGTTTGCACTGGATTAAACTGGGGGTTTCTCGTTAAGGAGGTTGGTATCTGAGATGCGGATAGGTTAGTTGACACCTACCCAAATGTCTGCCTTCGTAGTGATGACTTTGCCACTGTACAGGTTGACCATTTCTGGTGAGCGATAGGACAGCGTTGTGTATCTACAATCAAGAGATTCATTTTACATTAAATATATGTCAATGCTATAATTATAAACGAGGGGCAGCAGAACTATTTTTCTTTAAGAACTAAGAGAATCTAGTTGCTTGCAAGTAATCTGCAGGAAGAGAGTATGAAATATTAGTGCAAGTCAAGAGCAAAACTGTCCTTGGCGCCACACACACCTGGGGTACACCAGCATTCTCCTGACAAAAAGGCATTAATGTGCACAAGAAAGTGATTCTCTAAGTACCTCACGCCTGGGCACTATGGCACTACATCAATTCTACAATCAACTTTCTTGTTTGAGCCCTCAAACCACAAAAATTTTCTCTTTGTTAAGTGATATTATACTTTGCTAATTTTTCCTTTTTAAAAACCAGTAATTCATTTCCACATGACTCAACAGAGATGGAATCCTGGACTGGACACTCTAGAATACATTGGGAGATGAATGGGATCTTTGCTGTTAGAATAGGGCCCACACAAGAGTCCTGTGCTTAACAACGGTGACAGAAAAGAACGTGGTATAAATAAGGGCAGTTTCAGACAGGAGTAGCTGGCTGTCACCAAGCATGTGACTTGTGTGGCCTGTGCCTCCTGAGCCCAGAGATCTGTGGCTCAGGCATCCATCAGGGCGGTGCATTGGCAGGAAGTCTGCCCGCACCAGGCTTGGCTGCCTGGGGTGAGGCGCCAGAGAGAAGCATTGGGATAGAAGGGCACCCACCAGGCTTCTGATTTATTGGTCGCAATACTGAATGCTGCTGTCGGTGAAAAATTCCACACTCTGGACAACGGGAGAAAATTACTGGAGTCAAAAATTTAAAGAAAAGAATTTAAAGAAGCTTTTTTTTTTCCTTTTCTTGGAAGTCAGCGGTTCAATTTCCAGAGAGATTTCAATGGCCCTACTCACCATTAATTCCACTAGACTGCAGGTGAGCTCCTTATGAGTAAGAAGGAATACACAGCAATTTAGGGTTCAGTAAAAAGCATGTCCGTCTGAGTAATAATAATGTCACAGTGGCTGTGAGCCTATTTAAAGACACCACAGACCCGGCACAGAGTTGCAGCACTCAGCTTTTAAGGTTCCATGAAATAAATCAAAGTATCTATGTACAATCAATCTTGCACATTTCCAGGGTACTCTAAGATTCTTTCATTTTACTTTGCTGATCAGTGATTCTGAGTGTCCCTTCCTATGCTCCACTTAACACCAAACAGCCCACTTCTAACAGGATGGTCTGAGGTGAGGATAACTGTCCAACTGTCTCTCTCCCCAGCCTGCCCTTCTTGTCCACAGTGGACAGTGACACTGCAGGTCTGCTAATGAACAGAGTCCAAGAAAGGAGGCAAAGCTTACTTCTTAATCTCATCTTCCACTGCATTCACTCCTTCAGCCTGAGGATTCTGGAACTTGTTGGTGGCACTTCCAAAGTCACACAGGACATAGTGGCCTCGGTCATGGAGGAGGATATTTTCAACCTGGAAAACGTCATTTTGAAGTCAGGCACAGGAAAATCTGATTTGCAGTCCCATAAATAAAACATTTTTGAATCTCATTAATGTGCACAGGAAAGTGATTCTCTAAGTACCTCACCAGGTCATTCCGATGGAAGAGAAAGAGGTGCCCTGGAAAAGGGTAATGTAAGTGGAGTGCACAAAACAAAACAAAACAAAAAGAACTCCACAAAGGCAAAGCAAGATTCACATGTTCCTACATTCCTAGCCATATCTCTCACCTCTGCAAAACAAAACAAAAATAGATCTGATCCTTTCAGGCTTCTGCTGTTTTGCCACATGCTCTTCTTTCAGTTCAGGTCATGCCCTCTGACCTCCAAGTCTCCGGTCAAAATTCGATTTAATTTTCAAACTCCAGTTCAGATCTTTTGAAGTACTCTTCAGGTCTCAGTCAGAGGCATGCCACCCCTTTCCTGTGTTCCCTGAGCACCTTAGTTTTCTATGATGCCAGTTACTTCACTCGCCTCTCCAAAGTGCATGTACTGATTCTTTTACTACACAAAATTAGGATTTTCAGAATTAATAAACATTTATTATATTTTAGTTACTTCTCAAAGGGCCATGGGCTGGAGCGATAGCCTTGCACGCAGCCAATATGGCCGACCCAAGTTCGATTCCTCTGCCCCTCTCGGAGAGCCCGGCAAGCTACCGAGAGGATCTCGCCCGCACGGCAGAGCCTGACAAGCTCCCTGTGACGTATTCGATATGCCAGACACAGTAACAACAAAGTCTCCAATGGAGACGTTACTGGGCCCACTCGAGCAAATCAATGAACAACGGGAGGGCCTTACTTTACTTTACTCAAAGGGCTGAAGCAATAGCATGGCGAGTAGGGCGTTTGCCTTGCACGCGGCCGACGCAAGCTACCGAGAGTATCCCACCCACACGAAAAAGCCTGGCACGCTCCCCGTGGCATATTTGATATGCAAAAAACAGTAACAACAAGTCTCACAATGGAGATGTTACTGGTGCCCGCTCGAGCAAACTGATGAACAATGGTGACAATGACAGTTACTTCTCAAAGTGATAAAGGACCAACGGGCAAACAGTTTTCCTGTTAAAGTATTGCCCTGGGGGGCTGGTGCAATAGCACAGTGGGTAGGGTATTTGCCTTGCACACAGCCTACCAGGGTTCGATTCCCAGCATCCCATATGGTCCCTTGAGCACTGCCAGGCGTAATTCCTGAGTGCAAAAGCCAGGAGTAACCCCTGTGCATTGCTGGGTGTGATCCAAAAATAAAAAAAGAAAAAAAAGTATTGCCCTGATTTTTAATAAATACATTTTTGAGTAGTAGATGAGCACTTAGAAAGACCGGAACCTAGAGAAATTTCTTGTATCAAAGAACTCCATAATAGCATGCAATAGAGTATACTGAGGATGGATGACTCAATCAACATTTGGTATAGCATAGAATAGTATGCTGGGGGGAAACGGCAACCCACAGGTCAGAGACAGTACAGGGGTAAAAGCACATGCCCAGAGGAAGGTGGACCCTGGTTTGATCCCTAGCATGGTATGGTCCTCCCTACCCTTCCATGTCCTCCATCCCCACGCTGTAGGGAGCAACCCCCCTATTGAGTTTGAAGTAACTCTGAGCACTAATGCGTATGGCCTAAGTCCCCTCCCAACCAAAATGATCCCAGAAACTCTTTTTAGGCCAGTAAGTCCATAATTTCCATTGTCTTTCATCTTCAGCTTTCCAAAGACTAGAAAACAAAGCTAGGCCCTACTATTATTACAACTGATTCTTTTCAAAAGCCATCCAATCAGCCACAATAGTCTCATTTCCACACTTGGTTCTACACTATTAGTTTTTCTGAAAAAAATATATTATATGGGCTGGAGTGATAGTAGAGGCAATAAGACACTGGTCTTGCACACAGCTAATACAGGTTGATACCCAGCGTCCCATATGCCGCCCCCCCCCCCCCCGCCCTGAACCCAGAGGGATGATCCCTGAACACTGCAAGGTATGACCCTCCTCCTCAAAAAAAAAAAAAAAACCAGAACAAAAATTACATTATATATCATATTTATTTTATTACATGATACATCAAATAGTTAATTTTTGCTACAAATTGACATGTAGTTTATTATTTCTTACTCTTATTGAGTCTCACAAAGTGGTTGAGCAAGGGGGTGCTGGTGGTTAACTCACAAGCCTGAGTTTAAAGTCTATTTTTTTCATTTGGTTTTTGGGTCACACTCGGCTGTGCTCAGGAATTACTCCTGGTTCTGTGCTCAGGGTTCACTCCTGGTGGGGACATAGAGGACCATGTGGACCATCTGCAGTTCCAGGGACTGAACCAGGCTTAGCCATATTCAAGGCAAGCCCATCTCTTCACCACCTACTTTATTACTTTTCTTGACAGAATATGCTTCTCTCTAGGGGTGCTAGTGTACCTGGGGAATTAGTGAATTATAATTATTTTTTAAAATCTATACTGGGGCCAAAGTGACAGTACAGCGGATAGAGTATTTGCCTTGCATGCAGCCAACCCAGGTTCAATCCCTGGTATCCCACATGGTGCCCCAAGCCCCACCAAGAGTAATTTCTGAGTGTAGAGGCAGATTCTGAGCATTGCCAGATATGACCCCCCACTCCCGCAAAAAAAAAAAAATTCTTTATTGTAGGGCTGGAGAAACAGTATAGTGGATAGGGCACGTGCATAAATACGGCAAACCTCGGTTCGATTCCTGGTTACTTTTCAGAGAAGCAGAATTTTCGGAGTTAAACTATATCTAAGCTAGTCCTCACCATCAACTTGCCTCTTCCACTCCCACAAGACAATACTGTAAAGAACTTTTAAGAAAAGCAAACAAAAAAAAAGTAAAGGGGGTATATAAAAGAAGAAAGAAGAGTTAAAAAAAATCAATGGAGGGAAAGCTTCACCAATACCAAAAAAATACCAATGTAAATGGGAACAATACTCCTTCACTGGTGACCCTGCAAGTTTGTGGAGGGGATCAGATGAAATGAAAAAGGTGAAACCACTTGGCATTGGCCACTTTGCAGGAGCTACATGCTCCACTTCATCCCGCAGTGTGTCCTTGGGCCTTGGAAAACCAGTGAAAGTCAAGACCAAGCTGGCCACTGCTGCCCCCTGGGGTGTCTTTGTCTGCCCATCTGTACATCAGTGAGTCTGTCTACACACCTGCACCCGCCTGCCTCTCAAGACACTCTCAGATGCATGGTTGCAAACAAACATGGCAACAAAAATATTATCTGGGTTGCCTTACTGCTCATCTTTCAAACAAAGCTAATTGGAAGCCACTGCTGTTATGAAGCAAGTAAGAGATAGACATGAAAGCCAACTGCAATTCTCCCTCTCCCACTCCCCCGTCCTCTCACCCTCCCTCACCCCCACCTCTCTCGATATATTTCTTTTTGGTTTGGGGGCCATACCAAGCTGTGCTCAGAACTTACTCCTGGCTCTGTACTCAGATCATTCCTGGCTGTAGGTTCAAGGGACCTTATGGGATGCTGGGGATCGAATCCAGGTAGGCTGCAGGCAAGGCAAACATCCTACTGGATGTACTATCGCTCTGGTCCTGTCAACTGCAATTTTTCCGGTAACAGAATATAGCATTATGACTCATTTATTTTTAGAAAAGTACATTTGAGGGATTGGAGAGAGAATACAGGGGTAAAGGTACTTGCCTTGGATGCACCTGACTTTGGTTCAATGCCCAGCACTGCACACGATCCCCTGAGCACAGAATCAGGAATAAATCCTCAGCACTGTTGATGTGCCCCCGCCAAAGGAAAACAAAAATGTAAATATGCCTGGACATCTACTACAGCCCACATACTTGGTAATGCTGTGAAACAGAGGGGAAAATAAGTAAATAAAGGTCGGGGAGATTGGCTCCAGTGGGTGGACTTCTTGCTTTGCATACAAGAGTCCTCGGTTCCATCACCAGTCCCTGAGCACAGCTGAATGTGGCTTCAAAATCAAGACAGAACAGCAACTGCTTGGTAGTAATAAATAGTATTTTAAAAAAAAAAAAGACAGGAGGTCGGAGATATGAAAAGCTGGAGAGGGCTGGCTCTGTGAACCGCTCAGCCCGGTGAATACAGCTGCCAGCGCTCTTGAAGAGATCCTGTGTTCAGTAGAGCAGGCTTTGGGAGGCCCTGGAAAATGACGTGTTGGGGGTGTTGGAGGCACAGTGATAGGCCACTGAGCTGGAACAGCGCTGTCCTAGGCACTGGTCCCCAGGGAAAACTGAAACCCTAGGACCAGACATTCTTTGGGGCTAGTACTCTCATGAATGAGGCAATGAGCTCATGCTGGCCTTGAGGAAGTGAAGGACTTAAATAAGTGAAACCACCAACAAGAGCAAAGGCACAGAGGCAGGAGTGATAAATAAGGAGAACAAGATCATCACCCAAAAGCACCTACTGTGTGTGCTGGACATGGTCCTGTGTACTTTTACCCCCGGGAAACCAAGTCACTCTTATTGCCTCGTTGCCATTCGTAGTTATCTCCTCTTCACAGAGGAAGAAGGGGGTGATTTACCTAGTGTGCCTGAGGTTGAAGGTGGGGAGGGCAGGACTTGGGTCAGCAGCCCGCCTGCTGGGACTGCGCCCTCACCAACTGCACCGGTCTGGGCAGTGAAGAAACACATACAGTTTCATGGGCAAGAGAGAAGGGCACAGGAGAAGAGAGGACCAGAGAGGCAGACAGAGGAAAGCATGAGGAAAGTCACATTCCGGGAATATTAGCCTGGGACAGAGGAGAGAAAACACGGGAGAAAGGGGTGTGAGCAGACAACTGTGCAGGTGTGAGAGGCCTGGCGCCAAGAGGCATTCAGCAAGATTAGGATGGTGGAGACCCAATTCTGATTGCGGAATTTGCATAATGACTTTGGTTTTGGCAGGCACTGAGGATGGAAGCCGAACGCTGGCTACCACTGCTTCCGGCCCTCGTGCCCTTCAGCTCCGGGAGTGTCCCGTGCCACCGACCTTATTTCCCTGCCTGTCAGCTCACGAGGGTTATTAAAGCTGTCACTCCCAGAGTCAGCTTATAGCATCGGCTGCAAGGTCTGGGAAGCGGCCTCCTGCTGACCCCCGCGTCTTGACGTTCCTCCAAACAGACAGGGCATTCATGCAGCCCAGTCACAGAGTTTATTACTGCCGGAGACTGGCGAGGATTAGATGAATACAGGTTTTCACATCTGTGTTTCTAAAAATGGGAAAAGGCTCTTCATGCTATTGTACTTCAGGAGTGCAAAATACCTTTTCTGACAGCAAAAGGGAGACACTGATGATTTTTTTTCCCTATTTTCAATGCATTTAACCCTTTCTCCTCCTTTAAGGGCTTGGATAACTAACCTAGTATTATGTAGCAAGATCAAGCCAACCAACAATACCTGCAGTTCCATCCTGGCATGGCTGGCCCTGAGCACTGAAGGGCAGGTGCTCCAGAGCACTGTGCCAGGAACGGTCCCAGAGTACCACTGAGTGTGGGCACACTGTGTGATGGGCAGCCCCATCCAAAAGGAAGAAATGGGGCTTACAATTCAAATGCTACAGTAACGTACTTGAGGCAAGACTGTCAGTATCGAGTGGGGTCAGCACTGCCGTTCTTTGGAACATCAGCCGCCAGCAGACAGGGCCGGTTTTTGGCAGTGCCCCGTATGTCATCAGAAAGGAAGTTCACGCTCGTGAGGACCAGGGCCGGGAGGGTCTTCTTCAGTTCCTGGGAACCACAGACCCTCTGCAGTGGGCCATGAGGGGGTCTCCAGCTGGCCCAGCTGGGACCTGTGGTCTACTCTTGCTCACAGTGCAGCTGCAGCACTGTGAGTAGCCCCAGAGAGCAGCGAGCAGCCCATGTTCTCTCCGGCCAGCTGCCCCTGGCTGGCGCAACTTCCCTGGGATCATGGTGGCCGTCCCCAGCACCGACCGAGCTCAGAGTCGCTGAGGCTAAGGCTGCATGGAGCCAAGGCACATAGGAAGTACATGGACTTTCCATTCAGGCCGCAGGAAATAGGCGTACAGCAGGCACCTGGACCTGCCCCCACATGCAATCCCCGTGACATGGGCGAGAGCAATCAGGTGACGGCAGGCTGCTGACAGCCCAGGGACACGGGTGTTTGGGAAAGCTTTGAGCCAGACGAGCAGGAGACAGCGGGGGAAGGAGCACAAAGACTCCTCCGCCAATTGGGGTGCGCGTCTACTGCTGCTCCGATTCCCTTGGCAGGGGAGAAAGGCGGGCAAAGGTTCCCGAACCACCGCTGGCAAACCAGCACCCTGGCTGTCTGACCACGCAATGACATGATGCCCGGGCCCAGAGCCCACCCGGGGGAGGAGTCGGGTCCGAGGAGGTCAGGCTATGGAGGGGAGCAGAGTGTGGCACCTCTTGCTCATGCTGTGCCCTCATCCTCCGACTCATCTGCTCCACATTCACTTGCTGAGGCATCTTCCAGGCAAGTTCAGTTAGTCAAGAAGGGTCTAGGGCTTCTGCACATAAGCTGACCACTGCCCTTAGCCCTGGGCTAGAGGCTGAGGTCCACATGGCTGGTTCCAGCCACCCACCGCCTCACAGCAGCACCACGAACACCACAGGCACTGCTGCTAGGATTGCGGAAACTGGAGAAGCACAATTTACAGGTGCAAAACGGTCCTGGCTGATGCCTCAGGGAAGCCCATCTGAATGTTTCTAAAGGAAGAACGTGGCGAAGGCTCTCTGAAAGGATGCTCAGGGCCTTCTCTGTCTCAGCAGCTCTCTGCCTCCCCCCAGAATCCTCTCACTTCCTGTGTCTTCAAGGGATGGACAAGATAGGTAGTTCATTCGGCTGAACGAGACCCTACCACCATCGGTTCTGTCTTTCCACTCCACAGAGGGAAAAGACTGGCTTAGAGGCAAAATGATTAGAGGTATAAGCTGAGGAGGAAGGGGAGGAGGAGCAACAAGCTGGTATGGGGGCCACGGAAGGAGAGGCTGACCCAGCAGGAAAAGGCCACGTGGAGAAATGGCAGACAGATGCTGACAGGGACAGCTGAGTGCCCTTTGCATCTGACAGGACGAAGAACACTGCCTGTGTTCATCTCACAAAGCGTGAACACTCCAACAGTACGAGTCACATGAGGAGTCCACCAGCGTGGTGCTCCATAAATGCGCACAAAGCCTCAATGGCATTAGTTCCACTCCACAAACGTCGTCAAGTATATGAAATGTCAATGGCTCGGTGACGGGATGGCAGTTGGCAGGACAAATTACAAAGATCATCAATTAGTGGATTGTTGCAAAGTATGTACAGAATTGAAAAACCAAATGCTATTTATGTAACACATTACTTTGTATGACCTTGGAGAAGTGACACTCAGAATATATTGGGAGAAGTAAAAAATAGCCTGAGTTCAAGCATTTGATGATTATGAAGAATTCTGAAGGCTGTTACGTAATGAAACAGATATCTGTGCTATATCATTATTTCTTTTTTTTTCCCTTTTGTATTTTCTCTCCCCAAGTGGAACTCTCTCCCCATGCCGAAGGTGGGAGCATGTTCTGAGCATGCCCCCCACACCACAGGCTCTTGCCCATTCCTGGGGCACAGAGAGAATGTGATGGGAGAAGGCCCTCAGGGCAGCAGGGGGAGCTATACCTTCAGGTCGCGGTGAATGATGGGCGTTTTGCACTGGTGCAGGCGGGCCACAGCTTCGCAGGTGTCACAGAAGATCTGGAGCACTTCGTTCTCCGTGAAGCCGGTCTGCAGACGCTGGTTCATCAGGTTGACCACCTGGCCGCCTGAGTGGGGTGTGGAACCAAAGCGATAAAACACTCAGACTCGTGTCAGAATGAATGGCCGAGGCCAGCCAGAGAGATAGCACAGGGGGTAACGCGTTTGCGTTGCACAGAGCCAACCCGGGTCTAATCCCTGGGGCCCTCATATCCGCCAGGAGTGACCCCTGAGCACAGAGCCAGGAGGAAGCCCTGACCACTGCTGGGTGAGGGCTGCCCACTGGGAGCACTCTGAGGAGACAGACCGCTGAGCCAGGCTGAACTTTGACTACAGGCCTAGAGGAGTCTCCTCCAGAACATAAAACACAGTTCCTTTAGTTTACAAGCATCCCAGACGAGAACTGCCCTAAACCAGATTTTTAAGTTTAATAGTAGTACAGAAAATATGGTCCCTCAAGTGCTGCCGTGTACATGGTCACTACTGTTTCCAAGGACTCAATCTGCCTCATCTTTCAGTAAGAATCAGACTGCACAAAGGCCCCCAGGAGCAGGATGAGTACAGATTTTTCCAGTCATTAGGACTGTCCGTGACTCTGGCCTCAGAACTTGTCACTTGGCCTGTAGATGCTATGCCAACATTTAATACCTAGGACCAAAAGACTGATGATCTCGCTTACAAATGATTTCGATCCTGGGATGAACTCCTATCTTGCATTTCTCTAACCATTTCATTGTCCAGAAAGAAATGATAGGAGGAAACACACTGTCAAGTTCAAGTTTGGTGGCATTTTACAAAATCAGATTAGAGAACCACGGAGATTACCATTTAACATCACACATCATTAGACATGTAACTTCCAGTGTTTCTCTAAAAAGGAAGCATGAGTGGAACTAAGGGTGACTGCAAACCAGGGAACCAAACAGAAAGACAAGCTTGTAAGTGACAGCTGCTTAGGCCAAAAAAGCCACACAATGGCTGTATGAAATAAATGCAGTCGACTCTGAATAAATCCACGTGGCTGTCTTGATTTCCTGAGAAAAATGTTGTTTGAAACACGAAGCTGTCAAGTACTTAACTCCACACTGTTCACAGAAGAACCATCTGAATGTAGCCTGACTAGGAATCACAGCTCTCTGAATGAGGAGGTGGGGGGGGGGGGGTCATTTCCATTGGACAAAAAGGACTCTTATACCCCATAACACAGGGATGGTGGCGTGGGTGGGAAGGAGAACAGAGGCGGGCGGAGGGGAGGGAGGAAGCGGCATTGTTTCCTTAGGCCATCTGGACTTGGGGTTTTATTATGTGCCTTCATCATTTATTTTAAAGCATCACAAAGAACACATTTATTTTCATTCTCTTTCACATACATGCACCAAATCCTCAATAACCTAACTCTTGGAGCTGGAGCGATAGCACAGCAGGTAGGGTGTTTGTCTTGCACATGGCCAACCCGGGTTCGATTCCCAGCATCCCATATGGTCCCCTGAGCACTGCCAGGAGTGATTCCTCAGTACAGAGCCAGGAGTAACCCCTGTGCATCGCCAGGTGTGACCCAAAAGGTAAAAATAAATAAATAACCTAACTCTTCATCCCCTTCAAAGAAAAAAAAACATCAAGTTTTATCTTCTCCACCGTTTGGAGTTCCTTGTGCCAACTGGTCCTCCGCAATGTAATAATCATCAAGAGATGACTGGCTCTGCATCTTTTAAGCTCTTCGTTGAAAATGAAAAGTTTAAGAACAAACAACTATCAGGGTACAGCACATGTGCAGGGACACTGCCCCCTGGCCCCTGACAGCCCGAGCGCTGGAGGGTCTGGTTCCCAAACTCACCTCTGCAGAAGTCCATCAGAATGAGAACTTCCCAGACATCACCACTGCTCACGCTGTTGATGCTGGAGTCGATGTAACCCACAATGTTTTTGTGCCCTGACAGGTCTCTCTGTGAAGAAGAATTGAGACATCGGTGATCAGTTTGAGATACCAACCACTCAGTCAGTTACATTAGCAGAGAGATATAAATATGCCAAGATGACACCAACAGCACTGAAAGGTATGTGAAGAGTGGGGTCACGAGCAGGCTTCCAGAGGCTTTGGAGATTCATGGTCGGATCATCAATGGAGAATCTAGAAGCTCATCACCCCAACACTCTGCCAGACTAAGTTTTAGGGCCAAACGCATGCCAGGTGCCTAGCACAACGATGTTCCACATAAACCAGTAGCAGAAACTCCCGTGGACGGCCACGAGGAGAGAGGCGGCACGAACTGTTTCAAAATAGATGTTTTCAAAAAGTTCAGAAAAATGAAAGTGGCTTTTCTGGTTGAGAGAAAGTAAGTAAATTCAGCCTAGCTTTTGAACTGCTTATACTGTTTCTCTCCTTTTAGGAGTATGTGAAAAAGGAAATTATGTGAAAAAGAGTAAACTGCACACTATGAACAGGCATGGCATAAGTTAGAGAAATTAGTCAAATAAGTTAGTCAAATCACAATGTCTTAAAAAGTCAAATCACAATGTCTTGGGGCCGTACGGCTCAGGTGCTTGTCTTGTATGCCACTGAGCCCAGTTCAATCCCCCCCACACCAAATGGTCACCTGAGCATACCTGGAGACAACCTTCAAGCACAGAGCTGGGAGCTGACCTGAGCACTGCTGGGTATGGTCAGCCCCTTCTGCACCGCCCCACCCCCACCCCAGAAAAAAAAAATCACTTTACAAAATTTGGAAGGGAATGCAATGTCAACCAAACAATTTGCAAATGAGCCTTTTAAGCCAACCAACTGCGATGATGAAATTTGTCATGTGTGTTCCCTGCTCTCTGATCAGAACCACAGGTGAGCTCTCGGGCTGCTTGTGAAATTCATGTAGTCAACCAATATTTACTGGGCACCTCCTAGGAGTCAGGAGGCACTAGAAACTTCCTCACACCTCACACCTTGGTATAGGTACTTCAAAATCCAAACAGATCAATCCTGCAACAATGGCCTTCAAAGTCCAAGATCATTAAAGACTAAATTGGGAGAAAAAAAAAGGGAAAAAGTTGAGTCAAAGAATATTTGCACAAATACAAAGAGCATTTTTGATGTTGATGAACATCTTAAGCCGTGCTCAAAGGACCTGGGGTCCACTCCTGGTAATCTTTAGTGATCTGGGTGGAATGGTTTAAAGCTAACGTTCAGCAATGCTGGGTACCACCAGAGCCACACCTGGTAGAGGTGAGAGAACCATGTGACATTAGGGATTAAACTCAGGTCCATTGTGCTGCAAGGTATGTGCACAACCCCTGAGGTAGCTCCAGTGCCCCAAGGTTTTATTTTTATGAATTAGTTTAAATAAATGGGGTGGGAGAGGTAGATAGGTGGTAAATAGGTGGTGATTTAATAGTTGCCAAGGGAAACGTGGCAGTCTGAGTTGCAATGACCACCACACTATCTGAACACTGAACTGTTCACAGTGATAGTCTTAAGGGCCAGGGATACTCTGAGCGGTACAATGCTGGCCTTGCATGTGTGAGGTCCTGGGCTTGAGAGCAAGCAGAAAGGAAACAGGGATGGAAAGGCTGGAGAAAAGTCAGTTCGACTATCTCATTTTTAAAAGAAAGCAAGATCATCTTTGAAGTACAAGGAAATAAGAAAGAAGCTTGATGAGAGAAACGAGTCTTAGAGAAATGGCGGTGGATAACGGACAAGGGAGATGCGAAAGCACAAAAGCAGTCTCTTGAGTTTCTCCAAAATAGAAAATGATCGCAGAGCTTTAGAAGCCCATCCTTCCCTCTGCTTTCCAGGCTCATCATCAGCTCTTCAAGAACTTGTTTCCATTACACAGGGCTGGGAAATGAAAGAACCGGAGAGGTTCTGAACTCAAATGAGCAGATCATAACCATCTAAATGTCTCAAGGGGTGGGGGACTGAGACATCCCTGTTTCCTTTCTGCTTGCTCTCAATTTGGGGGAGGGGAGGGAAGGAGGTAGTTTGGGCCCTACCTACAACTGCTCCTGGTGGTGCTCAGAAGACAATATTGTATGCTGGGGACTGAGCTGTGGTCAACCACATGCAAGGTATGCCTTAACCCCTGCACTGTCTTCTCAGGCTATTCAAACAGATGAAACTCTACTGAGTGGGAACAAATGAATGGAAGTTGAGGTGATCATGCTAAGCAAAATAAGTGGCGAAGAGAAAGTCAAAGTATATTGGATGATTCCACTCATGGGAGAATAACGATAGCCGAAGTAAATACAAATAAATAAAGCAAATGAGCTGGCCAAAACCAACAAAACTAACTCCAAGACTTGGTGGAAATGGATGATGGTTGCCAGAAGGAGAAGGGAAAGGGGGAGGAAGGGATGTTAGAGGGGTTTTCTGGGGGTGAACCAGTGGCACCAGAACTTTGGTGACAGATGCCAGGAATCCTATGGCACCAGAAACTCTTTAATACTGTAAGCTATAAACTAGAAAATCAAACAATGAACATTACTACATGCAACTGCTGGAGAAATAACCAGCATGGTTGCCTCAGTTTGTTTCTCCTAAAGAGGAAAAATTAAGAACCCAGCAAAATGCACGAGGCTGAGCCCAGGGGACGGGGAGCCAGACTCATCACTGACCCCCGCAGCTATGACCCCAAACAGTGTGTCATGGCATTTCCTTTTGAAGGGGGCAGAAGGGACGATCTGGGGGCCACACCTGTCAATGCGCAGGGCTCACTCCTGGCTCTGTGCTCAGCAGTCAATCCTCTGTTAGTTGTCAGAGTTTTTCTTTTTTTAACAGCAGTCAGCTCTTTGGTGCTGGAAGGGAGGGACCTTGGGGGTTACTCCTGGCAATACTTAGCCCTGCAGTGTGAGTCTGGAAGTTCAGAGCTCGGGCCACAAACAGGGTGTTTCCAGGGCCAGCTACCCGTGGGGCCATCAGGATGACCCAGCGGTGCTGGGGGATTATGTAATGCAAGGAAATTTAGCCCTGCTCTCTCCCCAGTGGCTCTGCCCCTTTGAGTTCTCTCTCTTCCACTAAGTTAAGAGGTTTTAAATTCTCTACATGCAGAGGATGCCTGCCTTGCACGAAGCCATCCTGAGTTCAATCCCCGAGCAGCCAGCCTAGACTCCGTATCTTGCTCGCACATTTTTTTTATTCTATTTTCTTTTCTTTATTTTTTATTTTTTTATTAGTGAAACACCATGAGGTACAGTTGTAGACTTACAAACTTTCATGCTTGGGTTTTAGTTATACAATGATCAAGTACCCATCCCTCCACCAGTGCCCATTCTCCACCACCAATGATCCTAGTAGCTCTTCCACCCTCACACCCCATCCCCCCCCCCACCTCAACCCTGCCTCTGTGGCAGGGCATTCCCTTTTGCTCACTCTTTCCTTTAGGGTGTTGTAGTTTGCAATAGAGGTTTTGAGTGGCCATTGTGTTCGATCTATGACCTACTTTCAGCACACATCTCACATCCTGAGCGCGTCCTCCAAACATCCTTTACTTGGTGTTCCCTTCTCTATCTGTCTTGCTCGCACATTTCTGCTAAGTATCCACATGATACATCCACATGACGAAATCCACAGAGGCTGGACTGCACTCCCCCAAACTTCCGATCCAGAAGCCATCCCAAAAGAAAGCATGAGATTGATATGACATGGCTTATTCTTACTCAACCCCAGCTTCATGGGATTCTTGCCTATTCATCTAACTGACTACAAAACAGCTTAAATTCTAATTTTACATTTTAAAGTAATAAACAGACAAAAGCAAGAATATTAGACAATTATTTTCTACTCCAGTCCTCATGTTCTACAAAGGAACCTCCCTTACCTCCCCTTTTCCACCCACTTTCTTTCAGTGTTTTTTTACAGGCAAATTCAAAAAATACATATTATGTAAATGCAAACCCAACACCTACCCCCCTCCCCTTTCTTACATAAAAGATGGCATGGAGCCATCCTCTGCAATCTGTCCCAGACCCTGATCAATCCTGAACTCCCTGCTCTGCCTTATCTCCTGGCTCTGCCTTATCTCCCTGCTTCCTTTGTGCCATCCCCTCTCTTCTATATCAAGCATTAGGTGGCATCTGTGTCCCCATTTTCAAGCAGAGTATGGAATCCACTGGGGTCAAGAGATGTGAACACAGGAAACCCCACACACATCATGAGCCAGAATTCTTGCCTGTCACTTTCTCAATACCTTTGAATCTGAAAAAAATTGGTCTTTGCCTGCCTTCAGGCAAAGTTCAAAACCCACATCCCAATTATCCATCAGAAACCAGAACTGCTTTGGTTCCATCAGGCTACACATCCCCATAGTGCCAGGCTGGTAAATGATGCAGAGCATTCTTGAGCTGGAGCCCCACATTCTTTCTCCACTGCAAGTAGGGAAAGAAATCGGCTGCTTGGATAACACACAAACCGTAGCATATTACAAAGAACACTGCATCTTCCAATTCCTGTTACAATTCTTTTTTCTATGGACTCCATAACTTAAAATACTGTTAGCAACAATGCTTCAAGCCTACAGCACTGTAAGCAACCAACAATGTTTCAAGCGTACATCAGCTCTAACAGGCAGGGGCCATCAGAGTGTCAGTGTCCTTCCCCACTGCCCCTAGGTCCTCTTGTCTTCTCCATCCAACCTCTTAGCAAGCTCAATCTTACAGACCTACTCTCACAGGCATGCTATCTACTGGCAGCTTTTAATTATTTTGCGGTGTTTCTTTTTATTCCACGTGTAAGAGAGATCATTACAGAGTATGTTCAGGGCTTACTCTTGCCTCTGTGCTCAAGGATCACTCTTGACCAGGTTCAAGGGACTGTAGTGCCAGGAATCACACCCAGATCGGCCATATGCAAAGCAAGTTCCATACCCATTCTACTATCTGGCACCAATTGACTTTCAATAAAAAGATATTCAGTTAAGGTCTTGCAGCAAACGGTGCTATTACAGATGCAACGGAACAA